CCCATACACACACTATACACACTGCCCCACAAACACTGCCCCATACACACACTATACACACTTCCCCACAAACACTGCCCCAATACACACACTACACACACTGCCCCCATAAACACACTACACACACAGCCCCACAAACACTGCCCCCATACACACACTACACACTGCCCCCATACACACCTACACACTCTGCCCCACAAACACTGCCTCCATACACACACTACACACACTGCCCCACAAACACTGCCACCATACACACACTACACACACTGCCCCACAAACACTGCCCCCATACACAAACTACAGACACTGCCCCACAAACACTGCCCCAACACACACACTACACAAACTGCCCCCATACACACACTGCACCACTACACCCACTACAAACACTGCCCCCATAGGCCACACTGCCCCACAAACACCTCGGCCCACACACACCACAAACACACACTGTCCCCATACACACACTACACACACACTGACCCATACACACACTACACACACTGCCCCACAAACACTGCCCCATACACACACTACACACACTGCCCCACAAACACTGCCCCACAAACACTGCCCCCATACACACACTCCATACACTGCCCCACAAACACTGCCCCATACAAACATTGCCCCCATACACACACTGCCCCCATACACACACTACACACACTGCCCCATACACACACACTACACAAACTGCCCCCTATACACACACACTACACACACTGCCCCACAAACACTGCCCCATACACACACACTGCCCCTATACACACACTACACACACTGCCCCCACTACACACACTGCCCCCACAAACACTGCCACACATACACACATTGCCCACACACATACAGTGCCCCCCATACACACTCCTCCAAACACCCATACAGTGCCCCCATACACACACTGCCCCAAACTCACATAAACTGCAACTCTCACACACACACACACACAATGCAGCTCTCTCACACACACACTGCCCCACACATACACTGCAACCCTGACATACACTGCCGCCCTCACGCTCTCGCACACACACTTCACCGCTCACACACGCTCACACACACACACTGCACCTTTCACACACACTTCACCCTTAACACATACCACTGCTCATATGCCCTATATCCCAGCAGACCCCAGGTAAGTTGTCAAACTGTTCTTAGTGCTAGTAGTGCCAGGATGGGATCCTGGCACTACTAGCACCATAACTACTACACTGAGCTGTAGTGGTTATTGTGGCTGGATTATTTATTTAAATAATCTACAAGTGCCCCTCCTGAGATCAGGCTCTGGATCCGCCACTGCACAGTATTCCCCCCTCCTACACACCATGACCCCACTCCCTCACAGTATCAGCCACCTCCCTCACAGTATATCACCTCCCTCTGAGTATTACCCCCTCCCACACACTATCGCCCCTATATCCCACACACTATCACCCCTTCCTTTACCAGATCACCCCTTCCACACACACAAACTGTCACCACCTCACACACACAGTATCATCCCCTTCACACACAGTCACTCTCCCTTATACACACTGTCACCCCTACAATGTAGTGTCACCATGCTCATACACTGTCACATTTCCACACATTGTCACCCGTCCCCACACTGTCACCCCCTCCACACTTTCAGCCCTTTCATGCATCCACACTCTCATTAATCACTCCTAATCATGTTCATCTCACCCCCTCCAAACTCACCTGCCCTCGCTCTGCCACACTCACATTAACCCCCTTAATCCTGTCACACTCCTTCCTCCAACCGTGCCACATTCACCATTCACTCCAAAACTGTGATACTCACCCCACCCCAACTATGCCACACTTACCCTGTCACTTAAATCTTAAATTTTCATTTTTGTTTTAGAGAACCCCTTCACAACAGTACTTATTTATACACGACTGCTGGGCTATGCAACCATACCCCACAATTGTGTATAAATGATTGGCATAATTGCAAATTAAATGTATTTATTGCAAATTAATTTTGTTTGCAAATTATGCTACAACTATAGCCAGAGAGCTCACAATGCAGGGGCACTCTGACATTGCAAGCTTCTGAACAATGAATGCAGAGACTGACTCTCTGTATCCAGTGCTGCAAGCCCGCCTTTCGATATAGTGAATGCTCCTTACACTTATACAAAATACAACCCTATTATTTTATACTTTGGGTGTAAGTGGGGCCTCATGCATGAAATTCGCCTAAGGCCTCATAAAGTCTAGAGCCGCCTCTGCCTAGCTGTTATGAGATCAGTGGGGAGTGCAATATCAGAGAGACTCCTGCAGTTGGAGAGAAAACTAAGTCAATCAACGGGAGATTTACAGATCAGAAGTAAATCTACAGCTTCAAAGACAAGCAGGTACATGCTGATCAGTAAAAGTCTCATACATTGTTATTTCACCTTTGGAACCGGAGTGGATTTGTGGAGAGTGGGGTAAGAGTGACATTGGTAAATTTGTTTATGCTTTTAGTGAGAATTTAAAGTGAATTTCAAATTTAAGGCAAAAGTAGCTGAACTGGAAGCATAGATGATTTTTTCAGCTCCTCTATTTAAATGTAAATAAAACTTACATTTGGAATTCACTTTTAATTCTCATGTTAGAGTGTCGTATAGTAGAGAATGGGAGAATGTCTGCACAATCAATTAAAATTAGAGAGGTGTAGAAAGAATGGAGAGAGACATGCAAGAATTATATATAATACTATTGAAATGTTATTGTTCAACATGAACTAAGGGGATTATTCACTGACTACTGAATTGTGGCAAATTGAAAGCTGTAGTTTAAGTAACAATAACTGGTGTACAATAATTCACCAATCAGCTACAGTAACAGTTTGGCTATTTTATCCCACCTTTTGCTATTTGGATTTCAAATCAATACAGTTTAGAGTTCCATGAATAAGCTCAGAGAAAAGTTTCGTTTCTTCAGTGAGAAATTCTTTAAATGTTGCTCACACTAGAGAATTGAGAAATTGGCAAGTCTTTTCATACACCTACTTCCTCTTCCTCGCTATCCCTCTCCTTATCTTTACATCAAGTACAGGAAAGAATGTACTAAAAATATATAATGGACCATGCTGAAATATGACTATAAAGACTATCAAATATCAGCCTAGGAACCATTTGATGCAGGTAGGACTAAAGTTACTAATCAGGATGGTAGAAGTTCGTTTTCTTCCTTAATTTATGTATATGAATAAATGTGCTTGAGGATATTTCAGTTTGTGTATGGTTTTGCCTAAGGCCCCTGCTCCAATTCCAAACTACAGAATTAAGTCTTTAGAGACTTTGTTTTCACTATTTAAGTGCCGAACAGAGTTAGTGGTCAGGAATCCAGAGTCTAGCTCTCAAATGAACAGCGCTAAAAATCAGAAAATGTACATACGTTTTGTAGAAATACTGGCCAGCAGAGTAGCTTAAAAAAAAGAGAAACAAAAATACAAATAATGGTACAGTATGTATGAACGATATAATTCCACAAGAACAAAGGTGTTATATTCACACTCACACTTTGAGGAGCTATATCAGCTCGGTGTTAAGAGCCTGGACGGAATAATCTCCGTCTATGGATTTCTTGAGGTTCAAGACCGTTGGTGAATTTATAGGTGTAAATATTCGTTACATGAAAAACAAGAGTAAAATACACCACATGGTATAGTACGTAAATATAAAATATTGTGGGAAAAAAAAAAAAAGTGGATTATCTTCCTCACTTGACGCGTTTCGCCGAAGCTTTCTCAAAAGTTCACTTGATGTGAAGTTCACTTTTGAGAAAGCTTCGGCGAAACGCGTCAAGTGAGGAAGAATTTTGGACTTTTATACAGGACTGGTTTTATAGTTTATTATTCACTTTTCACTTTTTGTATTAAAGTATATATATTTTTTTAAACTATCCAGTCATTCCTTTTGTCCTCCTTCCTATCCAATACTGCTTTGCTGCTATACCTGGGTCCACTATATCCCAAGGTGGGGATTATTCCACCTGAAATTCTCCAGACTAGAGCAGGTCGTTGCTGTAGTATATGTAAGTAGGATCATCCACTTTTTTTTTTTTTAATAATATTTTATATTTACGTACTATACCATGTGGTGTATTTTACTCTTGTTTTTCATGTAACGAATATTTACACCTATAAATTCACCAACGGTCTTGAACCTCAAGAAATCCATAGACGGGGATTATTCCGTCCAGGCTCTTAACACCGAGCTGATATAGCTCCTCAAAGTGTGAGTGTGAATATAACACCTTTGTTCTTGTGGAATTATATCGTTCATACATACTGTACCATTATTTGTATTTTTGTTTCTCTTTTTTTTAAGCTACTCTGCTGGCCAGTATTTCTACAAAACGTATGTACATTTTCTGATTTTTAGCGCTGTTCACCTTTCTATTTTATCTGTCCATTTATCACAAGGTAGAGGAACACCTTGTTGGTGAACTGCTGCTCACCCCTGAGAAGAGAGTGCTTATTATTCTTTTGCATTAGCTCTCAAATGAAACATTTACTAAAATGGAGGGAATCCGATATCTGAGGAGTGATAAGAGGAAGGGGGGGAAGATTTGCCCAGAGCGGATATGTTGCATTTAAGATCATATATGAATCAAATGTGATATATTAATTTTGTTATTTTTTCACCTTTATTAAATACACATTATATACATTGAAATGTGAGGTCAGGCATCTTATAAAAATCTATATTCTGACCCAAAAGATTGATTCCCAGATGTTGCAATACTACAACTCCCATGATGCTTTGTATGCCTTTGCATGTCTTTAAAATATCAAATGATATAGATCCAATGTGATCTGTGTTATATTTAAGGGAGCCCAAATATAAGGGAGCATTGTGGAAGTTGTTGTTTTAAAACATCTGGTGATCTACTTTTTGGGCACCTCTGCTCTAGTTTGTAAGGTTAAAAAACAAACAAACAAACTGTTGTGTGTATTTTCATTTATTTTCCTTTAGAAAATGCATGTTTGCATATGTTAAAATGTGTGCTTACGTATCTTAAAGCAGCAATGTCTTTTACCCCCCCCCCTGCCTACTCTACTGCATTTAATTGTCCCCCTTGTCACCCCCAAATGCCCCTAGGTCCCCATTTCACACTTTTTTACCTCTTAATTTCTTGCCCGGACCTAGGTCCTATATGCCGCCGTAATATTGGTTTAGGCAGATTAAGGCTCTGCAGGACATGTCATCTGCCCACACTAAATGGCATGGTTAAATCCCTGCGCATGCCTAGTTTAAAACTTTTTTGATAAGTCTCGCCTCCACCCATAAGAAACAACAACTAGCGAGCCTGGAGCAGACCTTAACTAAATTTCGCTCCTTCGGGGGCGTGGCCAACCACGAGACAGAACAGCCGTGTTTCTGTAGAGCTCCTCTTCACCCAGAGACATTAACCCCAATAAAATACGGATAACTCCAATGAAGAGGACCACCTACAATCTCACCCCCCCAGAGACAACATGGGGTTCAAGCACCGTAAACCTCAAGGGCCAGAAACCCCCAAACACAGAGATATAAGGCTCTCATTTGAGCCACCTACACTGCCGGCGCGGAATAGATCTCGGAGGAATCCCTGGAAGAAGAGGGAGAAGAACTTACCACCTTGAGACAAAGCGACTCAGACAGGGCAGACAACTCTGAGGATGACTCGTCCCCTGCAACCAAAGGGGACATAAAGCAAATGCTCCTAGAGATGCGCCAAATCTGAAAGTTAGACCTCCGGGATATCCGACAAGACATGGGGGCAATGTGGAAAAAGCTCCAAGAGGTTGTAGAGAGAGAGGCTGCAAGGGAAACCCGACTGCAAACCACTGAAGCCAAAGCTGACACCCTCGCATTGCAGGTCCAGAGATTGAACCGCACAGTGGCATCCCTGGAAACTCGACACAGGCGACGTAACGTACGCCTGCGGGGAATACCCGAAGAGGTAAAAGGGGAGCAGCTACTATCCTACTCCCGCTGGCTGATAACAGCAATAGGCCTCAAAGGTGAAGTAGATCCCAACATGATACTCACGAAGTTCAGAGTGAGGAAGGTGGCGACAGCCGCGGAGGCAGCCCCAAGAGACACAATAATGATAACAAGGGACATTGCCGTAAAATCGGAATTTGAAGGAGCCTCCATCACGTTCTTTAACGACATCCCCTTTGCTGCGCTGCTGGAAATACGGAGACTGGCTCCACTAGCCAAGAAACTAAGAAACAACTCGAGGCAGTACCTCTGGGGAGCCCTAATTGTAACGAATGGAGACAAAACTGCCACAATTACCTCGGCTGATGACCCTGAGACAATTCCGGAGCCTAGACACGGTAGACACACTAACTAAAGCAAATACGAGCAGCCGCCCCAGAGAGGAGAAGCACAGGACAACTGGGGAAGACAAACCGCGGTCCTTGCCCAAGATACAAAAACTGGGAACATGAAAACTGTAAATATTATCATACTGCAAGAGACCGCATACATCCGAGCCACTACCATGGGCCACCCCCACGAGCCACTATAGTTTCCCAGAAACACAACACTACCCTAGTCAGATGCCCACACACCCACTCACCAGACTACACCGACACCACACAGCGAGGCAACCACCCCTACGACATTGCATGAGGGACAGAAGAACTTGATACCCGCTACTTACAGAAGCTGCCACCTACCTTCAAATGACATTCAAACAACACACCTAGAGTCTAAACACTATACCTGACTTTATGTTAGCTGCAACGTGTCCTATTTCCTGTTGTTGATTAGCAACCGATACCCTACCTACCTTCAAACGACACTCAAAGGACATACCTAGGGTCTATACACTGTGTCTGTATTTAGGTTATTGGCAATATGACCTATTTCCTGTTGTGATATGTAAAACCGATACCCTGATATAACTGTTATTTCGCACGAAATTCAATAAAATACAATTTAAAAAAATAAATAAAATTTGCTCCCTCGAAACCAAACTTAAACTCCTCTTCCAAATTGAACACACAAATCTCAAAATGCCAAAAGTCCATTAGGGAATTTATGGCTGTTGATTCTGCCAAGGCCCTTCAATGGACTCGCTACCTCTACTATGAGAAATCAAACAATTCAGACACTTTATTGGCTGGTAAACTTAAGTGCTGAGCTGCCTGTAAAAAAATAGATATGGTAAATTTCCGTTCCGGTCACACAAAAGAAGCACTGGAACAAATAGCTGAAATCTTCCAAGACTATTATTCCTTTCATTATGACCATAGCCCACAAATTCACAATAAACCTGAAGCGATACTAACACAAATTGATACTTATCTTTAATCTACCATCACTCACTCTGGAAGGAGCCAAAAGGCTGATGCAACTGGTCACCACAGAAGAACTTGCCACCACATTGAAAACTCGGGATTTACTACAAAACTTTGCAGCCATCCTGACCCCTCATTTATGCAACCTATTCAACTCAATATTAGAAGGTGAGGTTTTACCACGTTATATATGCTACAGGCGAACAAATGCCTTCTGCCCAAGACTGAGAAGACACAAATGGAACCTGGCCACTACTGCCCTATTTCCCTGCTGAATGTGGATGTTAAACTCTTTACGAAACTCACGGGAGACAGACTCAATGAGACCTTGATGAGACTGGCCAGTGATAACACCATATGTACCCTAGACCTGATATGGTTTGCTAATCACCGACTAACACCGACCTTAGTTCTCTACCTTGATGCAGAAAAGGCTTTTGATAGATTACTCTGGCCCTTTCTCTTTGCCACACTTCATAAATTTTGTTTCCTACAACCCTTTATTGATGCATTATGAAAACTATATTCAGCCCCTACTGCCAACCTGCTTTTAACCTCTTCACACATCCCATCTTTCAGAATACTGCCCACTTTCAACGGTCTTATTTGCCTTGTCCCTGGAACCACTTCTCCAGACCGTTATGATGAATGGTAATGTGAAGGGTTTGCATATTTGTGATGAGAAATATAAAACTGCGGCTTATGCACCATATGGTTTTAAAAGCTGGGTAGACCTAGAGCATACCATTTTCGGGAGGGATTTCTCTTCTCTGTATATATGGCTCCCAAAACCAGTGACACTCCATCTTCCCTCCAACCATCTTCCTCCAGCTACACTCATTTTCCTTCCTTCCCTTAGTCTGAAAGGCAGGTCCCCTTAGACTTCACTCGACACAAACCCACACTGCAGAACTGACCCAATGGTTCACTAGTTTACAAAAAGCCTTTGAGTTTAACTACACTTTAAGAGGCACCACCATGGGGGCCAACAATTCCTCCATGCAATAACGGTGCTACGGGCTTAATCCGCGATGCACCCCTACCACTTCTGAGTTTGTTCTCCCCCAAACTTGCAAAGATGTAACTCTTCTTCCCTCCCTTTCCTATGTAATCCCTTTTCCTTGATTAATTTAATTTGTGTTCCTTTACATTAATCACCAAAGAGAATCACCACAGCCACGATGTCTCTTGATGTACTCAATATAACTTCTTGTACCTGACTCCATATGTAACATTGGTATACTTTGATGTTTATACTACTTGCACCTATGTTTTGTGCTGTACATTCAAGTTTTACACTTTTCCTTTTTGACATCAAAAGATTGTACTTTTTCTGATATGAACCCACCCTTCTTTATTCTGTAATCCCTATTTCCAATAAACCAAAATTTGAAAAACTATAAATAAAGAATTTATAAAAAATACAAAAAACTTGGGCATTCTCTATTGTCTGAAATTCGGAAAAGAATTTTGGCCATTCATTCATCAGAAAGACAAATGAAAGAATAGAAATTACAAAGAATTAACAGTCTTCGAAAGAACGAAGAACGTTCATGCAGTTTATACTAAGTCTGTGCAAGATGCAGCCATGGCATGGATTGGATCGGAATTTCATTACTGAAGTTCCGAACTAAAAAAATGCCTGTATTTCATCCTAAGATGAATGGACAAACTGTACACATTTTGTTAGGAATGAAATTCAGTGAATTCGCTGGTGCCCTAGTCTAAATGACAAGACATATAAACAGCAAATGAAGTGATGCAAAAACACAGAGGAGGGGTAAGTATTGTGGGAAAATTTCTTTAGTGTCCGAGGGACTTGTTCCGCTATATCCAAATAAAGGATTTTGCTCTTCTTCAAAGACCGATGTGAAAGGGAGGTGGGGAATAAAGGTCTGATCACCACATTATACAACTCTATCAGCTCTGAGCCCACGGAATGGGAACCTAGCTTATATGTACCAAAGGGAAGCTGGGCTTGGGGAAGTATAGGAAAGCAGGGAGCAGAAAATCCTGCTCCAACTGTCAGAATTTCCAATATAATTAACCAGATGTGTTAAGTAAATGGATGGCTCCAGCAAGTGCTGATAAAACTTTATTTCCAAAATCAAATAAAACGTAATAAGGTGCCTCACCACCTCCAGCCTTCAAATTCTCTCCCTGTGATCAAGTGTAGTCCCTCCAGTACGCTGCCGGCACTAACAATACCTCGGTCTGCAGATACACGGGAACACTTCAGGGAGGCAGAATTGGCACACGTGACGTGGTGACATAATCAGTGGAACGTACTGTGATGACGCGTTTCACCTCAACAGCTTCTTCAAATCACTACCATAGTCCTGCTGTCCTTGCAAATATAAGTCCACCGACAGGGGTGTGGAAATATAAAGTCTTAAATCCATTGGGTCTATTTTAAACAACATGAAACAACTGACAGACCAGTCTTCCCAAAATAAATTAAACCCATCCTCAGGCCTAATGGGAGCAATCAACTCCCTACAGAACTGCTTCCTGGAGCTAAACTCAGCCAAAACAGATTATCTATTGCATAGACTTAGGGCCACCAAATACCATGCTTCAGGGAAAACTAATAAGGTACTGGCCAACAGACTCAGAATGCAACAAACCGCAGCTAGGGTTGTGGACATCTTAAGCCAGGATGGAATCAAAAAGAAGGGACCCCAGGCCATAAGCCAGGAGTTTGTTACATTCTACTCCTCCCTGTACAACCTGCATGATTACCTCAAATTTCACACACCCTCTGATCCTGAAATTGACACCATCCTAGAATCAGTCCACATACGTCACCTCAACCAAACCCAAAAAGAGACCATAATCCACCCGGTCACAACTGATGAGATACAAGAGGTCATTAGGCACCTGCCATCAGGCAAGTTCCCAGGGGCTGATGGTCTTACTAACTCACACTATAAAAAGTTCTCTGCAATACTCACCCCCTACCTTGAGGAACTATACAGTTCCACAGCATATGACCGGAAACTACCCCCAGATATTCTTTTGGCAACCATAGTCACGATACCCAAACCCGATAAAGCGCCTGATATGTGCAAAAATTACCTCCCAATATCCCTACTTAACACAGACACAAAGACATATGCAAAAATCCTTGCTAAATGCATAGGCAAATTAATACCAATGTTAGTGAATGATGACCAAACAGGCTTTGTACAGGGGAGATATCCAAAAGCTGGCACAAGTGCTTAGGAGCTTGAGGGAACCTGGACAGGGCGGTCTACTGCTGGCCCTTGACACTGAGAAAGCATTTGACTGCCTCAGCTGGAATTTCCTGAGATGAATGCTGATCAAATATGGATTCCTTGCTACCACTGTCCAGCAAATCTTTGAACTCTACGACTCCCCCACTGCACAAGTGATGCAGGGAGGCTTCAGGTCCAAACCATTCTGTATTACAAATACGAAACAGGGGTGCCCCCTCTTGCCATTGCTATACGTCCTAGCATTAGAAACTTTACTACAAACTATTCGGGATCACCCTAATATCCACAGAGCTCAACTGGGAACCACCCACGTCAAAATTAGTGCGTTCGCAGATAATATTCTGCTATATCTAATGCACCCAGAGGAATCCCTGCCAGCCTTACTAGATGTGATTACAGAATACGGAGCGGTCTCCTACTATACACTTAATGCTACCAAAACCCAAGCAATGCCTATAGGTCTGCCCTCAAATATGCTGACCACTCTACAAGCCACATACTCTTTTGACTGGAGGATAGATAGTATAAAATACCTGGGGATCACTGTCACAAGGAACCCAGCTGAGTTGTTCTCAGCTAATTATATTACGCTGTGGAGGTCCTGCAAACAACAGTTATTGAAGTGGGCCCCAATATTCCTGTCATGGTTTGAATGCATTATAGCCCTCAAAATGTCCATTCTCCTGAAACTACAATACCTGTTTTGAATGCTGCCATTAGATATCCCACCAACCTATTTTAAGACTATTAGAGCAGATATAAACCTTTTCATATGGGCAGGTGTTTAGTCTAGAGTCGCTGCTAAGATCATGCTGGCTCCGCTTAAACTGGGAGGGCTAGCGGTTCTAAACATCTAATTCTACTACCATGGCTATGGCTATGCCACTTTTCATCAAAACACTGCTCCCACAATGGTTACACCACAAACTCGATACCTTGAAATCCCATGATTTTATCAGTCTAATGTGACTCCCGACTGAGATCCGACCCAAATGCCAGGCTGTTTCTCCCTTGATTCAATCCTTTCTTAGAATTTGGGATATATATATATATATATAGGGACAAACTATGCCATACAAACTTGATTTCCTTATCAACACCCATCCACGCAATCACCTTCTATATTCCCTCCTTCCAACACACCCCTTGGCTGAAGGCTGGCGCCACCCACCTATTTCACCTATACCACCAGGTTAGTGTGTTGACTTTTGATGCCTTCACTAGACAATTCTCACTACCACCGACTTCGCATTACTCCTACAGACCGCTCAAATCACTCCTGCCATGTACACAACCTGCAGGTATCCCCTCACAAAGATCCACAATTGAGATAATGGAGTGGGAACAACTGTGCATAAACACTGCTCTTCCACTTCATTGTAAACCCATCTCCAAGCTACTTTCTGACCACTGGCTATTCTATGACTCCCTCTATGCCAAACAGTGGGAAACCGAACTTGGAACCACAATCCCACAAACCAAGTGGAAAAGAATGATAAACACCCCAACTGGCCTCATCAAATCCTCAACCCACCTAGAACAATTCTGCAGAGTACTTTATAGGTGGTACTTAGTTCCATCCAAACTGCACAAAATATATCCCAATACCCCATTACAGTGATGGAGGTGTAACGGAAATGAAGGCATGATGATACATGTTTGGTGGCACTGCCCGGCTCTCGAGCCATACTGACACTTGGTTCAAGACCTTATAGGAAAGGCGGCACCAGCAACCTTTCCTCTTGCTAGACCTAACTGAGTATCTTAACAAGGCCACACAAAAGTTGATATTGCATATTATTCTCACGGCCCAATGCTTAATTAATAGAATCTGGAAATCCCCCACTCCCCCGACTCTCTCAGCGCTAATAACGGACATAGATAAACAACGGGCTTACAAGAGAGGCCACCCCTCAGTCTTCTCCCGCACAACCATTACCACAAATGCCTGGTCCTTGTGGGACACATGGAAATCGGTGTCTAACTAGCCTATCTATGGATGTGTGTGTATATATATATATATATAAAACAATGTTTTTCTTGGCACTCACCCTTTCAAATGTGTAGCTCAATATCGCCTGGGTGCAATCCCATGTAGATAAAATATATAGAGGATAAAGAGATGCACTCTCAGGACTTGAAAAAATAGTTAATTTATTCCAGCAGGTATAACATCAAAGTTTGCCGACGTTTCGACCCATTCGGGTCTTTCTCAAGGTCAATGTACCTGTGCTTACAAGCCATTTATATAGGACATAAAAAGAAGTACTCACCAATCTGTGAAAAAACCCCTGAATCCCTCCGTGCACACCCGGAAGTGAAGCCGGAAATAGAACCCGCGATCACATGATCCATGCATAAGTGATCATGTGGTGTTGCTAAGATACCGATAGGAAAACAATTAATTATAAGATCGGTAAATATCTCATAGATGTGCAAGTGAAATGTCTAATATCAATCTATTAATGAAATCTGATTAAAGTGCAGAGTGCATAAATCCGCAAAAATGCAGCCTAATATAAAAAAGTGAGCAAAGATCATAAGATCAAATATACTGTGTAAAGTGTCACCATATATCTAAAGAAGTGATCAAAAAAATAAAGAATGTTATGTTAAAAACATTTCACCAACCATGTCAAGTTTAGAAGGCATTTAGCTGAAGCAATCTATAACATCAAAAAACTAGCAGGATAAAAAAGGGAAAAAAAGCCATTAGAATAAAGGCTCCAAAAAACCAATAAGGATCACAAATATACTTAGAGAAAAAGGAAACCATATGATTATTCAAAGAACATTATTATTAAAGAAACATAGAGAGCACAATGTTTCGTTGAGTCCTCTTGGTGTCACTGTGTCCAGCCGATGGATCCATTGTGCCTCACGTTGAAGTAGTTTCTTTGATCTGTCACCCCCTCTGGACATTGGGGGGACATGATCAATAGCCGTGAAACGTAACAGAGGAAGTCTATGTTGCATATGTAGGAAATGTTTAGCGACTGGCTTATCGCTATATTGATCTCTAAATGCTGTTGTTATGGTCGACCGATGTCCCCTTATGCGGTCTCTCAACGTCAAGTTGGTTTTGCCAACGTACGAAAGTCCGCAAGGACATGTGATCATGTATATCACATGGTCAGTGGTACAAGTGATATAATGAGATATTTTAATTCTCTGACCGCTGTGGGGATGAGCAAAGGTCGTGCCACTGACCATGTGACTACATGTCACACATCCACTGCATTTATAGCAACCTTTCTTCACAATACTCCTCGGTTTACGGTAGCAAATTTCTGGGTCACTCTTCACCAGAAGGTCCTTTACGTTTTTATTTCTTCTGTAACTGATAACAGGGGAACTCATGAATGTATGAGGTAGTGATTTATCTGAACGTAATATATCCCAGATATAATACAGAAACCGAAAAACGAAGAGCCCAATTGGAAGAGATGTGGGATAGATTTCGTATGCGAGGTTATCGTCCACAAACTCTCCAAATAGCACAAACTAAAGCTTTGAATATATGGAATCAAGAAAGATTGAATGATAAAACTAAGAAGGTACCAAAAGAACCAAAAATTTATCTTCCCATGACTTTTCATACTGGAACATCGAAAATTAGACAATCTATCCAAAGACATTGGGATATATTACGTTCAGATAAATCACTACCTCATACATTCATGAGTTCCCCTGTTATCAGTTACAGAAGAAACAAAAACTTAAAGGACCTTCTGGTGAAGAGTGACCCAGAAATTTGCTACCGTAAACCGAGGAGTATTGTGAAGAAAGGTTGCTATAAATGCAGTGGATGTGTGACATGTAGTCACATGGTCAGTGGCACGACCTTTGCTCATCCCCACAGCGGTCAGAGAATTAAAATATCTCATTATATCACTTGTACCACTGACCATGTGATATACATGATCACATGTCCTTGCGGACTTTCGTACGTTGGCAAAACCGACTTGACGTTGAGAGACCGCATAAGGGGACATCGGTCGACCATAACAACAGCATTTAGAGATCAATATAGCGATAAGCCAGTCGCTAAACATTTCCTACATATGCAACATAGACTTCCTCTGTTACGTTTCACGGCTATTGATCATGTCCCCCCAATGTCCAGAGGGGGTGACAGATCAAAGAAACTACTTCAACGTGAGGCACAATGGATCCATCGGCTGGACACAGTGACACCAAGAGGACTCAACGAAAACATTGTGCTCTCTATGTTTCTTTAATAATAATGTTCTTTGAATAATCATATGGTTTCCTTTTTCTCTTAGTATATTTGTGATCCTTATTGGTTTTTTGGAGCCTTTATTCTAATGGCTTTTTTCCCTTTTTTAGCCTGCTAGTTTTTTGATGTTATAGATTGCTTCAGCTAAATGCCTTCTAAACTTGACATGGTTGGTGAAATGTTTTTAACATAACATTCTTTATTTTTTTGATCACTTCTTTAGATATATGGTGACACTTTACACAGTATATTTGATCTTATGATCTTTGCTCACTTTTTTATATTAGGCTGCATTTTTGCGGATTTATGCACTCTGCACTTTAATCAGATTTCATTAATAGATTGATATTAGACATTTCACTTGCATATCTATGAGATATTTACCGATCTTATAATTAATTGTTTTCCTATCGGTATCTTAGCAACACCACATGATCACTTATGCATGGATCATGTGATCGTGGGTTCTATTTCCGGTTTCACTTCCGGGTGTGCATGGAGGGATTCAGGGGGTTCTTCACAGATTGGTGAGTACTTCTTTTTATGTCCTATATAAATGGCTTGTAAGCACAGGTACATTGACCTTGAGAAAGACCCGAATGGGTCGAAACGTCGGCAAACTTTGATGTTATACCTGCTGGAATAAATTAACTATTTTTTCAAGTCCTGAGAGTGCATCTCTTTATCCTCTATATATATATATATATATATATATATACATATATATATATATATATATATATATATATATATATAATGTATCTGTGTAACACATACCACTTTTTCAAAGAGGATAAGAGAGCATCAACACAGCTGAACCCAAAATCTAACTATTGTCAGCTACCAGACAAGTGAGAAGGGGTTCTCTAAATCCTTAAATGATAAAACGTCTACTATGCTCTATCTTTGTGATCTGCGGTACTGTACTATGTTGCATGTTGTGCTACGCTGCATGTTGTATTATGATGTACGTTGTACCCCCACTAACTTACTACAATTAGACAAAATGCTGTACCCATCTAGAGATGCCTCGGCCCCCAGACTTGCCATGGATGTATTACCAATTGATGTATTAACAACTACAAAAACTGTGCTATTGTGATCTGCTTCCTCTCCCCCACCCCCGACCCCTCTCTCTTCTGTACCCCCCTAAAATGTGAAAAGAAATAAAAATTTCTAATGGGAAAAAAAATAAATTAGCCCACTAAGGTCTTTGTTAATATTCTCATATATTCTTTTATGTAGAGGACAAATAGTTCAGCCCACATATTGTAATCCACATGAACAAATAAAAAGATAAATTACATCTTTACTTGATATATATAAAATGTGTGTATATATATATATACACACATACACACAAACACACACTGCTTGCAACTGTTAAGATTCACATTACCTCTCTCTTCTCTTACTTCAACACAGATTGTAAAGAGTATATAACGTAAAGAAGAAATGCTTACGCAAACTACACAAATGATGGGAAACAGTAGTTCTATATCAGAAGATGAGGAAAGCATACCCAGGTCTGGAATGTTTTATTATTACTTGTATACACATCTACTAGTTACTGTGATTTTACTTATTACCGGTATATGTTACTGTGATTTCAATTTTTGAGGGGACTGTGTTTAATGTTTAGAACCTACTCTTATGTAACATTAGTTACTGTATATTTTTGTAAAAAAAAACATTTCAGCCATAGCAAGATTTCCATTTTGTCATTTTTTTTTTGTGAATATGCTTGATATAATTATTTTTTTTTCTAGGGATGAGCAGACAGCCTGTGTAGATGCTATAGACAAGAGTTTGATACTACATTATTCACTTATCCCCTCGGTAAGTAATATAGCATAGCACAATATTATTAATTTTTTTTCATAGATTAATTGGTGTACGTTACACATCCACCCCCGGTAAATATATAGAAATCATCTTGAGTGGGTATAGTTAAATGCCACTTTCCCCTCAGCCCAGATTACTTTAACCCCTTAAGGACCTAACTTCTGGAATAAAAGGGAATCATGACATGTCACACATGTCATGTGTACTTAAGGGGTTAATGACCCTCCCAAGATACCTGTTAATGAGTTAGATTACAGTGGGTTCCCTGTCCTCATGGCCCACAAACAGTCCAGGATTTATGTATTTTCCTTATTTATTCCAATGGAGATACTGACAAAACCTGGACTGTTGGGGGGCCATGAGGACTGTTTTGGGAAACACTGAACTGGAATATTAGTATAATTGTATGTATGCCCACTTGATAAAAGTGCTGAGTCATAATGTGCTTTTTTATCTCATAGTTCAGTTTACAAGTTATTAATTTGCAATTTTAATTCACATTTATGATATTTGGTACTGGGATGTTTGTAATCTTATAGGTACCCAAACAGGCAGAGCAGGTTGAAGACACCATGCTGCAAATTGCTGCCCGCATCTATAGAACCCTTACATTAGAGAATCCACTTAATGTATTTCCTCCAAGCCATATCTTATATATCATATCTGACTTCCCTGTATCTCATCATACCTGTCAATATCACTCTACTATACCCAAGTCATCCACTTCTTTGCCATCAGTCCAATCCAAAAATGAATTATTCACCTCACAAACGGTGCTGCTGTTCACTACCCATACAGTACCCATGCAATCTTAAGAGTGGACAAATGACTTCCAATTCCCATGCTAGTCCTGTGTCATTTTTATGTTATATACCACTTTCAGGAGAACCTTATTTTGAGAAGCTGCCTTATCTGACTTAACAGTGAAGTGTGATGTGTCCAATATTAACTCTTGTTGTGCAGGTGGATGCCTTATGTGAGTTCATATTTATAAACACAGTGTGAGGGAGCAATACGACTGTTAGCCACCAGCCCAGCAGTGTTAGGTTAAACGGACAGCTTAAGAGCCATAGTTACTTTATCTCAAAGAGTAGATTTTGGGATGGTGAAGCTGCCTCATGCCCCTAGTCTTTCAGATAAAAACAATGCTGTTACAGAGAAATGGCACTGTTTACATTCTACAATTTCCATCACTACTAGTGGCTGTCATTGACTGAGATACATTCAGTTATTCAGTCTATTTATTAAAATAAATATCTAGTTTTACATGCAAAGTATGGCAAGGCTGGATGTTACGTGCACCTTGTGCTTCTCTACGATCATATATGTATGGATGACAATTGCCTTATATTGCATCATGTGTCCTCATGGCTTCTCTATGAGAATCATCTGATTGAACAAAGAATATCAAGCTTGATGGGTTCACAGAGGAAGTTTGGTCTGCATTGGAATAAAGGTATGTTTACATTTTTGTATTGATTCCTTTTTCAAAGGCCAGTCAAACTGTATCCCAGCTGCCATCAACAAAATTATGTATATACATTGATCAGCCACAACATTAAAACAAATGACAACTGACTGAAGTGAAGTGAGTAACATTGGTTATATTGTTACAGTAGTAACTGTCAAGGTGTGGGACATATTAGGCAACAAGTGGACAGGAAGTTATTGAATTTGTTTTGGGAGCAGGAAAAATGGGCAAAGTTCTGAGTGACTTTGAGAAGGACCAAATAGTGATAGCTAGATGGCTAGGTCAGTGGATCTCCAAAATGGCAAGTTTTGTGGTGTGTTCCGTGTGTCCAATGGTTAGTACTTACAAAAAGTGGTGCAAGGATGGACAACCGGTAAATCTGTGTCAATGTGGGTGTTCAAGGCTCACTGATGCACATGGGAAGTGAAGGCTAGCCCATCTGATCCGATCACCTACTGTAGCTCAAGTTGCTGAAAAACATAATGCTGCTCATAATAAAAAGGTGTCAGAAGACACAGTGCATTGCAGAACGGTTAGAGTGCCCATGTTGACGCCTGTCTACCTCCGAAAACACCTTCAAAGGGGACGTGAGCGTCACAACTGGACCATGGAGCAATGGAAGAATGTTGCTTGGTCTGATGACTCACATTTCCTTTTTGATCAGGTGACTGGCCAGGTTACATATAGTTACATAGTTACATAGCTGAAAAGAGACTTGCGTCCATCAAGTTCAGCCTTCCTCACATATGTTTTTACTGTTGATCCAAAAGAAGGCAAAAAACCTAGTCTGAAGTGCTTCCAATTTTGCAACAAACTAGGAAGAAATTCCTTCTTGACCCCAAAATAGCAGTCAGATGTCTCCTTGGATCAAGCAGCTATTACCCCACTGATTAGAAATTATATCCCTGTATGTTTTGTTTTTTCAAGTATTTATCCAATTGCAGTTTAAACATCTGTATGGACTCTGATAAAACCACCTCTTCAGGTAGAAAATTCCATATCCTTATTGCTCTTTTAGTAAAAAAACATTTTCTTTGCCTTAGACGAAATCTCCTTCCTTCCAGCCTAAATGTGTGATCTTCTGTCTTATATATAGCCCTGTTTATGAATAGATTTCCAGATAATGGTTTGTAGTGGCCCCGAATATATTTGTATAATGTTATCATATCTCCTCTGAGGCGCCGTTTTTCCAAACTAAAGAGATTAAATTTTTTTTAACCTTTCTTCGTAACTAAAATGCTCCATTCCTTGTATCAATTTTGTAGCCGTCTCTGCACTTTTTCTAGTGAAATTATATCCTTCTTTAGAACAGGTGCCCAAAATTGCATAGCATAGCGATTTATAAAGAGGCAAAATTATATTTTCATCCCGAGAATTTATGCCACTATTTATACATGACAACACCTTATTGGCCTTAGCAACTGCAGATTGACATTGCATATTGCTGCCTAATTTGTTGTCTATAACAATTCCCAAATCCTTCTCGTGTGTGGTTATCACTAATTCACTACCATTTAGGGCAGGGGTTCTCAATCCCTGATTTAGGGTGTAAGTTGCTTGGGCATTCTTGACCCCGAAGTGCATAACTTTGCATTTCTCTACGTTAAACTTCATCTGCCATTTTAGTGCCCAGTCCCCCAATCTATCCAAATCCCTCTGCAGCAAAGCAATATCCTGCTCACACTTTATTACTTTACTAAGTTTTGTGTCATCTGCAAACACTGAAACATGGCTTTCAATGCCTATTTCAAGATTATGTATAAATATGTTAAATAGAAGCGGTCCCAAAACAGAAACCCGAGGGACACCACTTACCACTTTTGTCCAGCCTGAAAATGTACCATTAATGACAACTTGTTGTACTCTATCCTTAAGCTAATGTTCTACCCAAGAACAAGAATAATCATTGATACCAATTTCTTTTAGTTTGAAGACTAACTTATTGTGAGAAACCATATTAAATGCCTTAGCAAAATCCAAGTAGATCAGATCCACTGCAAAACCCTGATCTATACTTCTACTTACTTCTTCGTAGAATGCAATTAGGTTAGTTTGACATGACCTATGTTTCATAAAACCGTGCTGATTATTGCTAATAACAAAGTTCTTCCCAATAGATTCCTGAATATTATCCCTTAATAGCCCTTCAAATATTTTCCCAGTTACAGAAGTTAAGCTCACAGGTCTATAATTCCCAGGCAAGGATTTTGAACCCTTTTAAAATATAGGAATGACATCAGCCTTCGTCCAATCCTCTGGTACAATACCTGAAACAAAAGAATCTTGAAAAATTAAATACAGAGGTTCACTTAGCTCCTAAAGTACTCGTGGGTGAATCCCGTCAGGCCCCATAGCTTTAGTTACATTAATTTTCTTTAACAGCTGTAGCACCTTGTCTCGAGTCATCCAATCACAAGTTATCTGCAAGTTTTTTGCAGCAATCATTTGCATATCTCTTGCCATAGGATCCTCATTAATACATGCTGAAGAAAAATAGTTATTTAAAATTTCTGCCTTTTCCTGGTCTTCATTAGCTAACAGGCCCATCTCTGTTTCCAGTATACCTACACTTTAATTTTTTTGTATTTTTTTTTTAGAATTGATGTACTTAAAATTTGGGGTTGGTTTTGCATTCTTTAGGTATTAATTTCACATTTTCTAGTTTATCCACTTTAATTGCCTTTTTGCAAGCATTATTGGCCCTTATTTGTCCGATTTAAATGCCCTTTTCTTATTTTTAATCTCTTGTCTTACTTCTCTGCTAGGCCACATTGGTATTAATTTGTTTCTTTTTTATTAAGTTACCACTGGTACATACTGAGAAATGTACCTTTCTAATATTTGTTTGAATAGTTTCCATTTATCCTCAGTGTTTTTTTCACTAAGGAGTTTATGCCAGTTGATATGTTTTAGAGCTGCCCTAATCTTATTAAATTGGCTTTTTTAAAATGATATGTTTTAGTATACAACACTTGCTTTTGCTTTTTTGAGTTTATTAAAAAAATTACCATATTGTGATAACTATTTCACAAATGCTCCCCTACTTGAATGTTGGTCAAAAGTTATAACGAGATCCAGACAAGCACCATTTCTAGTTGGTGCTTGTACCAGTTGTGACATAAATGTGTAATTTAACATATTCAAAAACCTGATTCCCCTTGCTGAAGTACTAGTCACTCTATCCCAATTTTACAACATGACAGGAGGCTTTGTATTTTGCATAATCTTTCTTTACTAGCTCCACACAGCAGCAAAGAAACACATATAAAAAGAACCAATCACAAGAGAGTAGGATGTACATAAGGCATAGTGACCTCATCACTCCCTCTTTCTTTGCTACTCCATCAAGCAGACAGGTCAGAGTATTACTCTTTTCCATTACTTTATGTTTATATTGCCTCTTTTGAGGTTGTTTCTGTTTATTTTTTAATATACTTTGCTGTTTGTTCTTGCTGTGCTTCTGAACTATGTGCCTCTGTGTTTTTCTATGTTATTTATTGTGTTTCTACCTTATTCTTGTTATTTGCCATCTCCCCTCCTTGCTCTCACTTCTCTGGGGTTTGAGGGGCTTTTGGGTCTTACTGGGATTGCATGTTAATGTTGAATTAGGCCATTATATATATAAGCTGTTAATAGGGATTTCACCCATGTATTAACTATTAACTATTAGAGCATTGATTAGGGCTTTCTGTCAGGATTGTGGCCTACACTCAAGGGTGAGCCCCCTACTGTATTTTTACTGCACTGAGCTACTGAGTGGAGACATGCTGTTACAGCCTCTGTTAACTGCTGGACAGGATTTCCAGGACATACTGCTTAAAGGACTATCTACCATTCTCCCATAACTTTGAATTAACCGATTGAGCACAGATTAGTGCTCTCTGTCAGGGTTGGTGCCAGCACTCAATGGTTCATACCCTGTGCACCTGAAGTGAGGCCCCTACTGTATTTATAATTCACTGTGCTACTGTATGGAGACATGCTGTTACAGCCTCTGTTAACATCTGGATATGATTTCCAGGACATACTGCTTAAAGGAATATCTCCCATGACGGTGCATTAATTATTGGAAGAGCTAAGGGAAGCTCTCTATCAGGCTGATGGCCAGCACTTAAGAGTTCATACCCTGTGCACCCGGGGTGAGGCCCCTACTAGATGTGCACTGCATTACTGAATGGAGATGTGCTATGACAGACACTGTTAACTGCCGGACAGGAGTTTCAGTGCTCAAGGAATATCTCACTCGACAACTAATTTAATTGTTGGAAAACTGATTGTTGTGCTATATCGGAGCTGTGGCCCGCACTTAAGGGTTCATACCCTGTACACCTGGGGTGAGGCCCCTACTATATGTGAGCTGCACTATTAGGCTGAGGGAAGACATTCTGGGGCAACCTCTTTTAACAGCTGGACAGGATTTTCAACACTTCATGCTTGAAGGACTATCTTCATCGGCGGTGAGTCATTGTGGAGAACTTATTTATGCTCTATATCAGGGCTGTGGCCAGCACTTAAGGGCTCATACCCTGTGCACCCTGGATGAGACCCCTAGTATGCGTGCACTGCACTGGAATGCTGAATGGAGGCATGCTGTTGCAGCCTCGACTAACTGCTGAACAGGATTTCAGCTCTGCCTGCTTAAAGGCATATCTTCCTTGACAGTGAATTAATGGTGGGAGAACCGATTGACGCTCTCTATCAGGGCTGTGCTCCTAGGGTAAGGCCCCACTATATGTGTGCTGCACTGTGCTGCTGAGTGGAGGCATGCTGTTGTAACCTCTTTTTACTGGGTGAGCCCCAGTCTAATTTATTTGGCCATGATTCAGAGTACAACCTGTAAGGGTTTCTGTGAGCACTGCCTACTACTATGGTAGGCTGATCTGTTTGCCCTGCATCCTGTGCCGGTCTATTGGTTTGTACCTTATACAGGGGTATCCCATACTACGATGAACCTACCTGCCAATTTCTTTCTGGGAGATCCCCAGGTAACTAAAGGTGACAGTGCCTCGCATGCTACTGACCGAGGAGACACGGAAATTACCCTGGACCCTACTGGTCACTGGCTGTGTAACCTACACATCCGTCACTCACATTCAAGAGACTGGTCCTCTGTCGATCACCTGGCTACTTTATGCACCTGTGGCTTTGTAGCCTCTAGATAGAGATGTTCATAACCGCTTGTGGTCGGACAACCCATGCCCTTCCCTCCCGGACAGAGCGGCACAGACGACTGTGCTTGATCAGCGGATGATGTCTGTCATGGTTCTGGGTGACCGCATACAGGAAAAGTCTTAGAGACACCCAAGACTATCTGCTGGATTCTATCGACCCTATCATGGGTATGATGCCAGACGCCGCCAACACCATCCGGTGAATGGGCTCACAATAGTCGTGAATGGGCTCATAAATGTTTCTGTTTTTGTCAGAAACCCCAGTGTTCGCCTTTCCTATGGGATGCGTATAGCTGCACTCCTCTGTATTGACGGATGGTTGGCGGATCTGGGCACCAAATCATTGGGACCCCAGGCACAAGGCACACCAATTCCTCAGGGAACTTATTGCACCTGTTTATGATCTCGCTACCCTCTTAAAGACATAAACCTTCAAGGGAAGGTGTTACGTGGTTACCTTTATAAGGGGTGTTCTTTGGGTCCAGTCGACAGCGGGGCTTGTCACCAACCACTTAGGGACATCTGACCAGGTACCCCGATATCGCTAACTCTATTACCCATATAGAGTGAAAGTCAGCCTCTGGTGCTCCAGATGATCGTACAGATGTGCTAGGTACCGTTTTCGTCAGGGGAGCGCCCCCTAGGGTATCATTGATTTACTTTCTACTACACCCACAGGAGATTCCAACGCATCTTGGTGGAAGGCATGCAAACCTAATAAGGACCCCTTTCGCGTAGACGACTGGCTTGCGAAACTGGATTTGAAGACACGTCATGGTGTTTGTTTTTTCCATTTCTCTTGGCGACGCTATCTAGGTTTCCTGTGACACGATCAACCTCAGCTCTTCACCTGATCCCTCAGCTTGGATCCTTGGGGGCATCATTAAACTATGGAAACCAATGTTTAATTACATGCGGGGGAGGTGAGGCATTATCTTCCTGGACAATCTCCTTCGGTTCGATCCAGGGAACTGAAGACTTCGTCAACACCCACGATTCTCCGAGGTCTGACTGGAACCATTGTATTTCGTAGTGGATGATCCACTTTTTAAGATTCGTAAGTGACTCGGCACCTTAAACACAGAGGCTCCCCCTCTTTATTCAAAGGTCTCCTCTATCCTCAAGGAATATTCACATGGTCCTCCACTGCAACATAACCCTACACATTGCATACCTAGAATTCTTCGGGCAATACTTCACTATCCATAGATTGGTAAAGAAGTACTCCATCTGTTACATCCTACTACAGATTGACAGAGCGTCGACAGTCCGGTATACCATTTGCCTGGATGGAACCAACTCCCGTCTTCTGTCAGACATCATGAAAGGCATCTTCGATTCCTGCCTTCCTTGCAGAATCCTGAGGTTGGACTGTCTCCCGGGGGAGACTCATATCAGAGGTACCGCCAGAATGCGGTGTTCTTCAATTGCCACAGTGCACAACGGTGCACGATGGTGATCGCACTCCGGCCAACTGAGCCCCCCCATATGTTTTCCCCTCCTTGCAATGTTTGCAAAAAATTCTCCATCATCTTGTTGTTCAGCGAATAACACCGCCTTTGCCATTCCACTGTGACAGAATCAACCTTGTTTCCTGGACCTTACGGAATGGACAGGGGAGGATCTCCTCCTTCTACATTCATGTCCTACTATTTCTCATGGAGGGAATCCACATGTTCTATTCCTAGGGGGTCGGCTGCCCTGGTGGCCTGGACTCTTTTTGGGGTTCTTAGCAGATCAGCGGACTAACGCAGGCTGCTGGGGGCCTCTCGGAAGTCTCTTGGGCCCCAGGGGCGTGACCACCCTTATAGTAAGCTAAAGCCCATCTCCTTTCTATCCTATCGCCATTTTCTAGATTGCTTTGACCCTACCCCCCTACTACCAGTTTAAATCTCCTCCTACCTTCTAGCCATCCTATCCCCCAGTGTGTTTATGCATTGTTTACCTGGGAAAGAGATGACAGGAGGGTGCACCGTGGGAAGAAAGCAGTCTGACAGAGGCCTTGGGTCCTGGAATTCATGTGGATGTCACTTTGACACGCATCACTTACCTATAGATTGTTGCATATCATATACACCCCTTTATAGCAGTGGTCTTCACTGATTGCAGTGGCCTCTTTCAACAGGATTATGTACCCTGCCACACTGCAAAATTGTTCAGGAATGGTTTGAGGAACATGACAAAACGTTCAGGGTGCTGCCTTGACCTCAAAATTTCCCATATCTCAATCCGATTGAGCATCTGTGGGATGTGCTGGAAGAACAGATCTAAACCATGGAGGCCCCACCTCGCAATTTGCAGGACTAAAGGATCTGTTACAAATGTCTTGGTGCCAGAAACCACAGGGCATGTTCAGGGCCATTCTAATTATAATTGCAGCCCCAGAGGGAACTACATACTATTAGGGAGATGGTTTTAATGTTAGGACTGATCAGTGTATAATAGAGGATCAGTTACAGAAATCTGTGAAGGCAGGCTCTACTTTATCATGATCCTACTGCCACTAAGAAAGCCTCGTCACATTTCTTCACTAACTCCACCGTCCATTGTGCAACAACTGCTCAGTAAACACACTTTTATTCTTTTCAAATGGATGAACTGATGGATATCACAACAGAGGTCTTTAGCTCTAACATAAACCAACCCACTGGGAAGTTTCATGGTATCCTATTAGGCCAGTCTCTTGTTCTTTCAATTACTATTTTGCTTCCCATGTAACACAGCAAGTTTAAGTCATTAAAAAGATTCTTGCAAAAGCACAGACATTCAGTTTACCACCAGCTAGACCACAAGTTACAGCATGAAGGTTCATGGGTTGTACATATTCATTGTCCCCTAGATATTCTGGGTTGTCTATCACAATTACACATCATTATTATTTATATAGCGCCATCAGATTCCGTAGTGGTGTACAATGCATTACATAACTCTTATTATTACACAAACTTCTATTTCAGTACAAGGATTTAGTAAACCTGCTGATTTGTGTGTATTTGGACTTTTTACTTAGCAGCTGCTTTTTTTTATAAATTGAAGAGTATGTTCCTTCAATTTATAGCAGCATCCACCACAAAATAATGATAATATGGCAAATATATTATTAAACTGCTTCATTAAGTTCATTAAGTTTTTTTTTTTCTTCTCTCTCACTAAAATAGAAAATAAGAAAGGGTTTATAATGGAGTAAGATAACAGGCACGTTTGTAATTAATGGTTGAAAAACAATTTCTAAAATTTGCTATGTAAATGGATACTAAGATATAACAGGGTGTTAGAATTTTTTTGATAATATTAAAGCTAGAGTTTATGCACTGAGAATGCACTTGATACTTAAGAACAAAAAAAATAGCAATAAGATATAAGTAAATGGTTAAAAGTTTGAATATATAACACTGGATAATTGAAAGATAAAATGCATGTATACAAATATTTGGACTAGAGAATGCACACTGAAAAAACAATACACAAAATGTTATGGTATATACTTGAGCATGAAATCAGGATCTAGTAAATTAAATAATTTGGGATAAGTATTGGAATCGCACAAAAACATAAGATAAAAAGAAAAAGAGAAAGGGAGGGGAAGGAAAAGAAAAAAGAAGAAATAGATTAAGAAAATAAGTTATTAGATTTATTAGGTTAAAAAATCTTATTCACATGTAAATTTGATCAATTTGGTGACAAAAAAAAGCATTTCCTTGCTCATTAATAGAAAAAAAATTCTCTAAATTAAAATAAGAGAAATATACAATTTGTGGATACAAATTTAGTTATACTCCCTCTCCACCATTCCTATTTATATAATGAGTTAGTAGCTAAATAAATAAAGAGGCTCTTGAGGTCTCTATCTTGTTCCTTCCGCGGGACGGGTGTCGTCCTCCATAGGGTACACAAGAAGGTACCCAGACCTTGGATTACATTGGGTTAGACGGATTAATGAACAAAATGGTAAATGATTAGACTTATTTCCTTAAATGCACAAGGTCTAAACTCCCATGTTAAAAGAGGTTTTTTATATGATGCTATGATTAGAGAGAATGTTAAAGTGGGAATTATTCAGGAGACTCACTGGTTGACTAGAAATAATCATCTATGACACTATAAAAAATTTCCAATAGTTTATACTGCATCCCAACAGAAGAAAAAAAAATGTGGAGTATCTATTATGTTTTCTAAAGATACAGTATTTGTGTGTCAATATCAAAATGCAGACACTGAAGGGAAATACTTAATTCTTGTAGGCCTTTTAAACGGAGTAATGTATACATTTGTAAATGTATACTTACCAAATAAACATCCGAATAGGCAATTAAATAAGATCTTAAGGTCAATGGAACAGGTTTAAAAAGGGAAAGTAGTGGTAGAAGGGGAGTTTAATTGCATACTTGATCCTACTATGGACAAACAAGTTCTCGACAACCAAAAAATAAGTCAAAATTTAATAAAACAAGCTAAAGAGATGAATAAAATAGTAAATAAATTTGAACTAATTGACTGTTGGAGATTATTGCATGCAAATGAGAAAAACTATACTCATAGATCTATCCCCCATGGCTCAGCAGCAAGACTTGATCTGATTCTGGGTGATAATAACTTTTCTAAATTTTTAACTTCGATTAATATAAAAGAGAATACTTGGTCTGATCACGATCTATTGATAGTAGAAGTTGCAGAAGGGATAAAAAAAATTCTGCCAATATGGAGACTAGATGATAACCTTCCAGGCTCAAAGGAAAATATTGGTTCTATGACTAACCTGATCGATTTATTTCTAAAAGAAAATTCAACAGACGATATTACTAAAGAATGTCTTTGGTGTACATTTAAAACAGTGATAAGAGGTTACTGGATTAAGTTAGCGAGTCAACAAAAAATGAAAAGAGAGACCAAATTATCATATTTCTATATAGAATATTATAACTTATCAACTTTAAACAAAAATAATTTCTCACTTGAGAGATTAGAAAAGATTAAGAGCTGCCAGATAAATATAAATAAACTAATTGAGGCTAGAATTCAAAGAAATCTAAATAAGTTGAAAATAAACTTCTACTATAAAAATAATAAAGTAGATTCTATATTAACAAATAGATTAAAAAAACAAAATCTGGAAAGGAAAATTCATAAAATAACAGTAGAAGGTGAAAATATTATAAAAACGGAAGATATAGCAGAGGAATTTAGAAAATATTATGAAAAACTATATAATCTAAATTTAAAGCCACCAATAACGGACATGGAGAGATATTTATCGAAGATAAAGATGACGAAAATTTCTCTGGATCAGAAAAAAAAAAATAAGTTATTTACACCAGAAGAAATTGAGCAGGCAAGTAAGAACTTAGCAAAACAAAAAGCCCCGGGCCCAGATGGATATACCAACCAATTCTATAAGAAGTTTAAACATCAAATTATCCTTTTGCTAACAGAAACTTTTAATGAAATATCTAAAGCAGGCTATGCCTCGGCTGATTTTTTTAAGAGCACATATCAGCCCGATATTAAAACCGAGTAAATCCCCTACAGAGTTATCAAATTATCGCCCGATATCATTAATAAATGTTGATGTAAAATTATATTCTGCTATATTAGCAGACAGGCTTCAAGCAGTATTGCCGGATATTATTCATAAGGATCAAATAGGTTTTGTGGCAGGAAGACAATCTAATAATAACACTAGAAGAATGATAGAAATAATGGACTGGGCTCAGTCAACAAAGGTACCCCTGCTGACCCTGTCGATTGATGCCGAAAAGGCTTTTGACAGGCTCAGATGGGACTTTTTAAAACAGACTATGCTAAAAATGGGATTTGAAGGTTGGTTTATGGGAGCAGTGGAGGCCCTATACTCGGTGCCATCAGCCAGAATAGTGAGTAGAGATTTAAGATCTAGATGGCTTAATATTCTTAATGGCAAGAGACAGGGCTGCACACTCTCACCACTTTTATATATTATGTCAGTGGAACCTTTAGCATGTAAAATAAGACAAAGCACAGGTATAAAAGGGATTTCTATCCCAAATGAAGAGTTTAAGATCTGCCTTTATGCAGATGATGTTATACTGACAATTACAGAGCCTGAACAATTGTTACCGTTATTAATGCAGGAGATACTACTATATGGCGAGGTTTCCAACTATAAAATGAATATTAATAAAACACTGGCATTAACAACAAATATAGGAAACTTGCGGCTAAAAATGCTAAAACAAAACTATTCATTTAACTGGTCAATTACACAGCTTCCATATTTAGGCATTCTACTGACAACAGATGTGGCTTGTTTGATGGAAATTAATTTCTTAAATCTATTAAAAGAAACAAATAGATTATTAAAGGAATGGAGGACCCATGAAATATCATGGTGGGGCAGAATCAACACGATTAAGGCCTACATTGTCCCAAAATGGATCTATTTGTTCCGTATGATTCCTCTTAAAGTTCCAGTACATTGGTTAAATTTAATTCAGAGTAGTTTTACAAATTTCATATGGAAGGCTAAGAAACCTAGAATTAATTTGATAATATTAGCGAATAAACCACATCGGGGAGGTATGGGATATACGTTAATAAAAAATACATATAAAGCAATTATAACAATGCATGCCTTGAACATACAAGCTACAGACTGCAAAGAGCAAGCGTGGTGTAAACTACAAGCATATAGAGAAGGCATAGCCAATTTAGAAACAACACTATGGGCAAAAACCAGGAAAAGGACTAATTCTACAGAATATAAATCCAGGATCATTTTACAAACAATAAATGAATGGTATACTCGAAAAAGAAAACTGGGAATTGTAGATTTAATTCCTGACACCATCTATCTTAGAACTGTGGAAAATATTATGATCGATATAAACCTGAAAAATTGGTATAGGGACCCAGATATATGTATTAAAATATCTATCTTAATGACCAAATAGAAGACTTCCCTAGTTTAAAATCAAGATTGAATCTACCCTCCAGAGAAATTTTTAACTTTAAGAGCTTTCTAAAGAACCATCTCATAAATTATAACGGGGAGAAAGGAAATGTAATTAAAAAGATTCTCTCTATAGATACTACAAAAAAGAAATATTCTCTAATACTTGATTTACTAAACTATATTAATTGAGTAAATACCCCCACAGCTTTTAAAAATTGGGAGAGAGAGCTAGACACCAAGGTCGATTTCAACTTGTGGTACCTTGCTTTTCTTAAAATCAAAAAATATATTCATTGTCTAAATGTATTGGAAAATTTTTATTAAAGTTAGTTATAGATGGTATATGGTTCCAAAGAAATTGAATCAAATTTCTCAGAATAATCCCCCCAACTGCTGGAGATGTTTTAACTTGGTTAGTTCTATGACACATATATGGTGGAACTGTCCCAGAATTCAACCACTATGGGACCTAACATTTAAAATAATAACGGCAATAAGCAATATCCAATTAAATTTTACTCCAGAAATAGCCCTATTCCACATGTATAATAATAAATTAGACAAGAAAAACGAAATACTAGTCATTCATTGCCTTATGGCTACTAAGTTGCTGATCGCAAAAGCTTGGAAAAAACTGATATCCCCAATATATACCAACTAAAGGCCCAAATTCAAAACCAATTGGAGATGGAAAAGGGAGTAATCTGGTATACTGTTCATAAAAATAACATATTAAGTGAGGTGTACAATACTCTGATAACAGATATCAATCTTATGGAGGGATAAAAAAAAAATAGAGAAGAAAAGGAAAAAGAGAAGGGGAGAAAGGGAAAAAAAAAGGAAAAAGGTGAATGTGAGAGAGGATGAATAGGAAGGGAGAAGGAAAAAAGAAAGGGAGAATAAAGGGAAGGAAGAAGGGGGAGAGAAGAAGGGAGAAAGAAGGAGTGGAAAGAGAAAGAGAAGGGAAAAAAAGAAAAGAAAGAGAAAAAGAGGAAATAAGATAGAGTTAAAAGGAAAAATACATATGCAAGGTTATAAGAACTAACCCAAATTAAGTTGTCTGTATGGATGAGAAATAATCACAGAAAAGATAAAAATGCACGGGTAATAAGATATACTTATAAGAAACAAATAAAAGTAAAAAAAAAAGGAAAAGGAAGGGGAAAAAGAAAAAGTAAAAAAAAAGAGAAACGAAAGAGAGATTTAATAACAAGAAATTAAGAAAAGGTAAATCGATAAGCCCTCAATATTAGGGTCATCTTACATAAGTAACTTGCACTATTGTATAGATATGAATGCGACTATAACAACATCATGTATAATGGTTATAATTGTAATGCTGTTTCCATCTGTGATTATGGTATGTTTATTGCGATGTTTGATTCTAGAATGAATCATCATTATTTTCTGTTGTTTGTATATCTATGTTAAATGTTTTATGATACATAATTTAATTTAAAAAAAATTACAATAAAAAATAAATAAACTGCTTCATTAAGCACCAAAACAACTCTAGCTTAATGAAGCAGTATTTGTGTATATCTCTGCAGTCTCATTGCTCAATTCTCTGCCGTTTACGAGTTAAATCACTTGTGCCTCTGTTTATGCAGCCCTAGCCACACCTTCCCAGACTGTGACTCGTGCAGCCGACATAAAAAAACAAAACATTTTCAGTGAGCACAGGGTTAACAGAGGAGGCTATTAACAGAGCAGGAGATAATAAATTCTAAATTAAGCAGAGTGTGCAATAAAATAAAGTTAAAAATTAGATCTCTCTTTGCAGAAAGTGTGTAGGGAGACTGTGTAAGTCACATACAGGGAGGTTTGGCAAGGCAGCATAAACAAAGTGATTTAATGCCTAAATGGAGGGAAATTGAGCAGTGTTAAGCTGCAGGGGCATGATCTATACACCAAAACAAGTCATTGAATATGCTGTGCAATTTTGGGCACCTGTTCTAAAGAAGGATATTATGGCACTAGAAAAAGTGCAGAGGCGGGCTACAAAACTAATAAAAGGAATGGAACATATCGGCTATGAAGAAAGGTTAACAAATTTAAACCTATTTAGTTTAGAAAAACGTTGCCTGAGAGGGGATATGATAACATTATACAAATATATTCGGGGCCAATACAAACCATTGTGTGGAAATCTATTCACAAACCGGACTTTACATAGGACACGAGGCCATGCGTTTAGACTGGAAGAAAGAAGATTTTGTCTAAGGCAAAGGAAAGGTTTTTTTACTGTAAGAACAATCAAGATGTGGAATTCTCTGCCTGAAGAAGTGGTTTTATCAGAGTCCATACAGATGTTCAAACGGCTACTAGATGCATACTTGCAAGAACAGAATATTCAAGGATATAATCTTTCAATGTAGGGTAATAACTGCTTGATCCAAGAATAAATCTGACTGCCATTCTGGGGTCAAGAGGGAATTTTTTTCCTAGCTTGTTGCAAAATTGTGCTTCAAACTGGGTTTTTTGCCTTCTTTTGGATCAACAGCAAAAAACAAATGTGAGGTAGGCTGAACTTGATGGACGCAAGTCTCTTTTCAGCTATGTAACTATGTAACTATGTAACTATGTAACTATGTAATTAGGCTAAAGGTCTTTTGGTGCTTATAGTGCCTCTAGTGTAACCTGCATTATCTTATATACTGTTAAAAGTAATACATGCAGATTTAAACAATGCATTTTATTTTCATTGTCACAATACATATTACATATATTACATATTTGCTTCTTTTTTTTAGATTATTTTGATTTTGATTTTGTCCTTCCTCGAAAGACAAAAAAAACGGACTAGAATAAATGACCAAAGTAATCCTCTTCATGGACTGTTTGGATTTGTTGTGTACGTAAAGTTTCATAGTATTTTATATTAAACTGTTAATACAGTTATTTTGAACTATTAATAATAATAGAGCTCAGCAAATAATGAAATAAACAATGTTTTCTTGCTAATTCAAGTGACAATATATTCTGAAAACGTTCTTGGCACTTGAAATACCAAGAATGATGTTGGTCATTCAAGAGTTTGAACCCATATACATGTGAATCAAAAACAAATTATCCAGAATTAAAGCAAATCACGTTTATTGATAGATCACTTTAATAATGATGATTCAGTAGAATGTAATCACACACAAAAAAGTGTTTCAGTGAAAAAAAAGAGAGAAAATATTTACACAATTCCAGCTATACAGAGCCATAGACTACGCCTGAGAAAACATAATCAAAAAGATGTCTGTCTCTCAGAATTCCTGTTCCAATACAAGTAAATATTACTCCTCAATGAACTGATATAAAATATGTAATCAATAAACCGGCCTGAATAATATAATTGATTATTTTGTCAAAAGTGTTAACTAACACAATATGTCAGTGAATCTCTACTCTATAACATGTTGAGCTGCGTGCAAAGTTCTTTTTACTTCCTAACAACAACACCAACTAGATACACAGTGCTCATAGAGAATGGATACAGTGTTAATTATTCATAAAACGCTTTAATAGTAACAATCCATGCAGTCTATAATCACATGACTGTTAATGAAATTGCAGCTTTGATAGCCAGAAGACAGGATGCCTATTAAAGTGTGGCTAAAACTGCATTCTAGGGTATAGAATACCCACTCATTCTCGGTGGGAAGGGGTTATTATAACATAGGAGGGTCTTCCATTAGGAAGGTTAAATCCTCCCTTACTCCCCTACCTGTTCTACGGTAGGGGCTTGTAAACTAAATGGCAAGCAGCTGTTGATGCCTAATCATTGATCCAATAAAAGAGGACCTGACAATGGTCCGTCATGACTTCATGATGGGAGTCCCCCATTTACCCCACCCTATTAAAGAAAATTAACAGGGGAGCTAGGGCCCCTCAAGCCTCGACTCGTGAAAATCAAGTGGGAGCTGTTATATAAAATGAATGGGCAGACTTGGTGTCCCCCAGCCTCCAATCATTGGTGGTGGGTGGGGGCTCTAAATATGTCCAGCCAAGTCCCCACCCTGTGGCAACAGATGGGGCTGTAAATAATAAATGGGGGGTGAACATATTGTCCCTCCAAGCCCCACTGATTGACAGTAGGTGGGGGGATCTAGTCTTTTATGACAGCAAGCAGACAGTAGCTTGTTGTTTAGCTTACATGCTCCTACCTGCAGTTTGGTGAGTAGGGGCATCAGGCAGGAATTAAACCTCCCTTATCATGGAATTTCATTCATTCAAATAAAATTCCAAAACAAAAATAACGCATAGTGCAAAAAAAGCAGTGTAAAATGCCACACTTTACTTATATGCTAACATGTCCATAATAACATGAAATTGTATTTGTTGGCTCCAAATGGGAAGAACACATGTAAAAAGAGAGAAGAAATAACCACATAGGGCAATATTGTGATATAAAATAGATTTGGATATAGCTAATTCAGGAGGGAACACTCACAAGTGTAGAGCAGAGAAGCCTGCTTTAACTGTAATGGCTTCAAGACGTACCAGTATGGACTCAGCTGTGGTAACAGTAAACATCCAAATTTTATTTATCAAGTGTTTTAAAGCAGCAAACTATCAGAGTTTTTCTCCTTGCCTTTCACCCCACCGATAGAGTCCTTTCCTGGTTCTCTCCACCGCCGTTATTCTATCAAATTTCCCTACCCGTGAATATCCCCTACCCTCGTCCCTTCCGGTGAGGGGAATCAGCTGGATCCTGTGCTGCACATATGTGCTAGCACTCCTGCTACTCCTCCACAGCAAGGTCCTGGAAGGTAAGTAAAACTAGTTTTACACTTTCATTATAGTTAGTGCATTCACTAAGCTTAGGACATGGGACATTTAGGGCTAATGATAGGGTTCAAATTAGGGTTAGGATTAGGGACTTGTTCTTATTTAGTGACATTTCACATTAGGGGAATATCTATAAATAGTGATTTATCACACTTTATTTTAACCCTTACCCCAAGGGTTAGGGTAAGAATAGAGTGTGAGAGAGGATAAAATTACTTACCTAAGCCTAATTTGAACCCTCACTTAACTCTAAATGTCCCGTGTGCCTAAGCTTAGTGAATGCACTAACTATAATGAAAGTGTAAAACTTGTTTTACTTACCTTCCAGGACCTTGCTGTGGAGGAGTAGCAGGAGTGCTTGCACGCATGTGCAGCACAGGATCCAGCTGATTCCCCTCACCGGAAGTGACGAGGGTAGGAGATTTTCACGAGCTAGGGGAATTTGATAAAACACCGGCTGTGGAATAAGTTTGGAAGCTCTGATCATTCCGGGGGGCGTGGCCAGAGCTGCATGCGTGCATATAACATCAGGGTGCGATGACACGTTTCGCCGGTATGCCGGTTTTCTCAGAGCTGCCCTCACGTTGTCCACAGTTTGTATTTATGTCCATAGTGTGGGCGTATATCGCCCAAACAGTTCCCAACAGAAGGATGTTCATAGGTTAAGGCTTAGTGCCTCATAAATGTTCATTGCTTAAGGCATAATGCCTCATGAATATGCATTAATAAGTCAAATTGCTCCATTATAGCCATGAGAACTTCACTCAAGAAAGGGTTGCACATCTAGTTGGACTGACCAATTCCAACCAGATTTCATTTTAATAAATATAAAAATTGACATTCTGATCGAAATTCATCCATTTTTAACAGATTGTGTCATCCAGTGTTTAGTGAATAGATATGTGTGTCAAGAGCACCATTATTTTCTCTTGCACCAATAGGAGTCAAAAGCTCCTAGGGAGAATAGAAAAGGTAGACAATGACTGCAAGATATTTCACCAATCCTTAAAATTGCTGGGTTTAGTTAAACATTGAATGAGTTAAATATGACTGCAAATAGACTAATGTTTGCCAGGATTACAGAGATCATTAAAGTCAAGTACTTGCCATGTGAATAACATTTTTCTTGTATGGCACACTTATGTCCTGGCCCTATTGTGTGTTTTATGAGCATGGTCTGAAGATGCTTACATGGACAGGGCTGCAAATACAACTGTCCCACACAAAAAAAATCAATTACACTAACCTAAAATTCTATGGAAATATACCTGGCATAGAGCATATAGAATGAAGAAAATGTTAAATTGTATAATTCTGTATATAGACTATACAAACACACACTTCATAAAAAATGGAATGGTTCGTAAAATTGTTTAAAGAATAATGTTTGTCTAAATTACTACCTGTTTTGTAGTCCTTTAGATCTAATTGGGGCATTCAATAATCGATGGACATATGGCTTTGCATTTGGATCTATAGCTAATACAATTATTGTATTGTTTGATGAGGGATTTTTGCCAGCTGGTGTCCCTGGTTGGGCCAAAGGTATGTTTATTGTTTAAAATAAATTACTTTCTTTGTTGGATTTGTATCTTCTTCTCTTAAAGATTTGAAAGCTTTCTTCTTAAATAATTGTTCAATACAGTAATATTAGTACTAAATAAATGTTGGCAGCTAACATTCTCCCTATTTAAAAAAAAAAAAAAAAATCCAGAAGAAATAACTAATTATCGGCCAATAGCCCTATTAAATAATGATTATAAAATCTATGCCTCAATTATTGCTAAAAGAATTAAGAACATAATCTCCTCTCTGATTGCAGAGGATCAGGTGGGCTTTATACCAGGAAGGATGTCCTCTAATCACATTAGGAAAATTTTAAATATATTTACAAAGGTTCATGCGAGTAAAACCCCATTTTTAACGATGGCCTTAGATGGAGAAAAGGCTTTTGATAAGGTTATCTGGAACTTTATGCAGTCAACTCTAAAAGCTTTTGGGTTTTCAGGTCAGATTCTCCCGGCCTTATATTCCTCACCATCGAGTAGGATTGTTGGAGGGGGGATTAAGTCTGACTGGTTCAAGTTATCGAATGGCACCCATCAGGGTTGCCCTCTTTCCCCACTTCTTTATATTTTAATAGCTGAACCCCTGGCGTATGAAATACGAAAAAACTCTGAAATAATAGGTTTTTAAAAGAGAGGCAAAGACTTTAAGATAAGCCTATATACTGATGACACACTATTAACTTTAACCAACCCAGTCCAGTCAGTACCAGTTGTCATGCAAGTAATTGAAAGGTATAGCCGTATGTCAAATTACAAGCTTAATGTCCAAAAAACGACGGTATTACCTTTCTATATGCAAGAAAAAGATTACCAATATCTAAATCAACATTACGCCTTTAAATGGGAAAAAAAGGGATTTGTGTATCTTGGGATTAATATAGTGAGAGATCCAGAGAATATAACGAAGGTCAATGTAATTCCTTTGATTAGAGAATGTATCCACTCTCTAAAACAATGGAATTCACTACAGATATCTTGGTGGGGCAGGGTCAATTTTATTAGGGCTTATGTTTTTCCTAAATTTATTTATTTATTGAGGATGATTCCATTACAGATACAACCTCAACGGCTTAAAGTCATAAATAAAATATTCAGAAACTATATTTGGCTTAATAAGAAGCCCAGGATAGGGCAGGATCTCCTATATTTGAAGCAAAAACAAGGAGGTATTGGTTTTCCAAATATCTTCTTATATCATCAAGTGGCCCAGATGATGCATACCCTACCTTTAATTAAACAGGATAGAAATCCACAAGATTGGTTCGAAATAGAGGGGGAAGATATTACAGATACATATAACAGTTTCGGATTATTGTGGACTATAAGAAATAGTATTCGAAATAAAAATTCAAGGTGCTCAACCGACAATCTGATAACCAGACCTCTTGTAAAATTTTGGACCTATTTTAAAAATCAATTAGAATTAAGGAATAAAATATTACCGGCTTTGCCTTTTTGAAGCCTGGAGATATGGATGGAAAATTTAGACACGACAGATTGGACTGGGCATGGGATTAAAAAATTAGCAGATATATTAGAGGAGAGTTTTGGGTATTCCAGCTACACAGACTTTTAATTTTATCAAGATAAAAAGTTTTCTACAAAGTTCTTTAGGTGGCATGACAAAGTCATTCTCAATCTCTAAATTAAATGATTTAATAGACTCAGAAAAAAATATAAAAATACTAACCAGATGCGTCAAGATTATGAAAAGTGTAAAAGGACTTGTTCAGCCCCTAGCCAAAATTAAATGGGAAATAGATTTATCAGTAAAAATCAATATAAAGGAATGGAGTAGGGCTCTTCAAACAGTGTACTTTAAGGTGCATTATTTAAATATTATGGAAGCTCATTATAAGCTTCTAAATAGATGGTACATGACACCAAATAAGTTTCAGAAATTTTCAAAGGAAGAGATCTCTAGATGCTGGAGATGTGGAAATGAGGGAGCGAATTAATTACATATATGGTGGGACTGTGCACCGATTAAGGAAGCATGGGATCAATTTTTGGTCTAAATAAATAATCTTTTGGGTATCACGCACATCTGGACTCCAGATATTTTGCTTTTATATTTAAATTTACCGCAATTAAATAAAGAAAAGAAATGTTTGTTGATCCATGCTCTGATGGCTTTTAAGATGTCCATTGCAAAAAACTGGAAAAAGACATCAATTGACTCATGGCAGCATATTAAGGAAATTATTATAACTCAATGTAAAATGGAAAGGGGTATAGCCTCCAATCTAAGCATTAATACACGCCAATATGAGATCTGGGACAATTGGATAAATGTCCTTGAAAGGCCGACACTGATAAGAGTTCTTGATAAACATTAGATACGAAATTTGGGGGCGGAATCTACTACGAATTAAGACCGGTGTAAAATATAATATGAGTAATAAAGAAAGAAATGTCAACTTCAATGTTTGTATATTTGCATATGAGTAGAGTTTGAAGTGAGGGACATTCGGTTCCCGGCACCTTCACCTCTACTGTTTGTATGTTTGGAGTATAATTCTTGGAGAGCTATAACATTATGTAATAGTATTGATGTGGTACAAGTCTCGGAACAATCTATGTATGCTCCTTTGTGTCTTTGTATGTAAATGTAATTTTTTGTTTTTTTGTGTATTAAATTTAAAAAAAAAAACAATAAATAAATAAATGGAAAAAAAAATATTAGTACTAAAAATATCTATAGAATCTGATAAGACAACCTCTTTAGGCAGAGAATTCCACATCTTTATTGTTATAACTGTAAAGAACCCTTTCTTCTGCTGCAAGTGGAAACGTCTTTCTTCCTGCTAGTGAACAGGTTAGCACATAGCGGAATGCACTGACCTTGTATATATTACTCTAGTGATATTATATACCCTCAAATGTGCTTTTTTTTCTAAAGAAAACAAATGCAGTTTTCCTAGGCTTTCTTCTTAACTAATGTTTTCCATCCTCTCTACTTATTTTGTAGCTCGTCTCTGTAATTATTCTAGTTCTGCAATATTCTTCTTTAAAAATGGTGCCCAGAATTGCATTGCAAACTCAGGGTAGAGCCTTACCATTGATTTATAAAGAGCCAAAATTACATTTTGATCACATGAATCAATACCACCTTTTATACATGAGAGCATCTTACTAGTTCTTGCGACGGCAGACCGACATTGCATACTGTTGCCTAGTTTGTGATCTGTAATTGTTCCCAAGTCTGTACCGTTTGATGTTATCCCTAACGCATCCCCATTAGTTTTTAACACTATAGGGTCTGGAATACATATTTGTGTTCCTGACGCGATAGTGTTCTTTTAACAACTTCCATAGGGCATACTAAGAACTAATAACCATTACCATCAAAGTATTTTTCAGTGCAAAATGGAACAAGCTATTACGAACTTTGTCCCAAAGAAGGGTTACTATTATAGTTATCGGGATAGATGGATACAAAAATTAGACCCGGGACAATAAATTCTTCTTTTTCTTTTTTTTTTCTTTTTTCTTCTTGTAATATACTCACTTTTAGTCGAGCAATCCCTATCCAAATCGGGAGATTGCCAGGATACCCTTTGCCCCTTATTAGATTTTTTTTTCTCTCTCCGGCACACTGTGAACCAAACAAATGTCTCTCTAGGTTAGTCTGTATGTATATATGTTTTTTAAATAAAATTAAAGGACAGCATGTAAGAGGCAGCGGCCCTTCTCCGAACCCTGGGCCTGCCACAGGATTCACTCCCTCAAGCGGGACCCTGTGCTCCCACCACCCCGTGCCACAGCTGGGATCCAGCAAAAAGTGCCCCATTCAGACCACGGAGCACCACACCGGTTACCTACGCCTCAGTTACCACATAGATGGAGCCGAAGGGCGCACCCTCCAAGCTCCGCAACACCATGACCTGCCCACACCGAACTGCCGAGAAAGGGAGTACTGCGCCGGAGCGCCACCAATACCCCGCAAGGCATCGGTTGATGAAATCAACTATCAAGTCCTTGGGGACTCTACTTTCCTCTTCTCCCTTTTATCTCTCATTAAATACGCCAGCACATGATACAGGACTCTTGCCTGGAGAACACCAGGGGACCTTGTAGCTCTATTTGGCAAGTTTGGGATTGCTCACCTGCAGTAACACGCACATAGCCACTGTTTGTTTAATAATTAATCTACTAATACTTCACACTTATAAGGCACATAACTGTTATTTTTCTCAGTTTATTTATCTATTTATTTATTTTTTCTCCCTCTTTCCCTGTTTCTTTGTGTCTCCCTTTTTCCTTTTTATATTATGTAGCCTTTGTTTCCTTAAAATGAGACTCTATACTGAGCTCCATGTGTGGTATATTAAGCGATGGCTAACATACAAATACTCGCCTCCTTAGCAAGCACCCCTAAGAAAGAATCCCCATGTAACATTGTTACCCAGAAAGGTACAGGGAAATCCCACCTAACAGACGAGGATAGCTTCTTAGGATATCGCCTGGGACTCGGCCATATGCTGAATAGAAAGCACCACAACTTTACCCTACTACCTTAAGCCTGGCGGCCCATCAACCCCCAATCACGCATTAACCATGACCTTAAGGGTCCCTACCACATAAACAGGGGGATTTATGTTTGCTACGGACAGCCTGAATATAGCCTACCCCAGCTGGCCCACTTCCATTCTCAGCGAAGCATTTAAGCTGCACAGCTAACATAGCCCTAATGTGTCCCCTCGGACCACCTCACAGGAGTACCTTCAGTTGTCAAGCACCCAGTTAGTTTCACTGGTGAAGTTTACACTCTATACTTCTCAATATGCATTACTTAACTTATTGCTGCTAACCTAAGGGGACGGCTCTTTATGTTTTTTTTGTTTTTTGTTTTTTTTTTTCGCCTAGCGCGGCACAATTAAAATCGCAGCTCTGATGAGACATACTGTACTAAACGCATAACACTGTATAAGCCAACACAAAGATGAGAGCGTATAGCTATGATCTGTAATGCAATGTCCTAGCCTGACTGTTAATCTTAATCTTAATGTGACTACTAAGTGACACATATCTGTGAAACAAAATACTACTTTTACTTGTCTCTATAAGTGTAAGTTATTATCCTGTTTATATAACTACTTTATAAAAAAAAAAAAAGTGCAATGTTATTACTGACATGATTAAGTGTGTATTCGAACTTGAGCGCACCAGCTATTGTGGCTGTGCAACTCCGCCTGTTAACCTTATGCACGACCAAAAATAAAGAATTAAAAAAAAAAAAAAAATTAAAGGAAAACAAGATAAACAAAACTGGGAGATAGGATACATATACACAAAAAAATAAGATGAAAATAAAACAAATGATGATGATTTGGTATTTGATAAGGTCAACCCTGACATACATAAAGTATGAAATAGCAAATATTATATATTATACCTAGCTCTACACTCGTGAGAACTGAGGATTTAAAGGGTATAACATACCGGCTAAATCTAAAGTCTCTGTTGTTTTTTTGGAAATACCATATTCTGATGTAAAAAAAATAAAATTAGAAAAAAATATAACCATTACTTAATTACTGTGTTTCACCAATTTGAACTGTCACTTTAACTATATGTTATATATTTTATATGAATTATTACTTATTCACAAATACTTTTTTACAGGATTTGTTATTTTAGCTGGAGCCCTAGAAGTTGGACTGTGCTATTTTCCCATTTTTGCCTGTCTCACCACAGCTAATAAAATAGTTGGACCTATTATAGGATTTTTGTATACACTCTTTTGGTAAGTGGAAGCATGTGTATGTTACATAAATTTAAAGCTTAAGCCAGACTATGTTTCTCTAAATTGGTAGTATAACACAATTTATTCAGGCCGGATGTCTTAAAAATGTTTTTGGCTTTTGATTTATTTATTTATGTTTTAATTTTGCCAGTTCAGCATGGCTAGACAGATTATGGCTAAACAGATCAGTAGTTGGACCTTGTACACAGAGATCTATTGGTTTAGTGTGCAAAAACAAAGCATTAGTTTGTTCTTGCCCCTCAAGATGAGTGTTGCCAGCCTTTCCCTGGAAAATACTCACCCCTGCCAACTTATTTTAGGGGCATGTGGGTGAGTTTAATGTTTGAGTGTCATTTAGAGCCAAATAAAGATCGCCCTATAGACTAGGTAGCAGTGGAGGCTCATCCATAGGGACTGGTAAATAGGGGAAAATGTTTTTGTAGTAGTATAGAGACACTGAGATTCTTTTTTCTGGAGGGGAGGGTGGTGAGCCACAAAATAAGTGTCTTTTTAATTATGTCATAGGTTTCAGTTGTGCAGGACCCCCCTCCCTCATTCATAGCTGTTTGGAGAAACTTACTTAAGGGCATCTAAGCATGCAAAAACATTTAAATCTGCCCTGTTTCAGCAGGTTTTGCACATGCCTAGTTCTTCCAGAAGGAATTTCAGGAATTATCATTGAGTTGCCATTTGGGCAGCATAGCCTACTCCCCATGAGTCAAGGCATGCTATTGGCCTTTCCATTAAGGGGCCACATTGACTGATAGAACCAGGGGGTGGGGTTACAGTGCTACTGTTAATCATGTCAGCTACTTTTTGGTTCCATATTACCACTGCAGATTAATTATAATATTATCTTAATGCTTTAACTATGTGCACACTCAGAACTAATGGAGTAGCTGACATATTTTATAAAAGGAGGCATGGGCTCCTCTGTAATGGTCCAATCCAATGCTCCTCATAGAGGAATATTGGGGATCTTATTTGCATGTGCAGAGTGTGACGCACACATCCGAACTTTCCCATAGGAAAGAGTTAGTATTCACTAGGTCAGTGACGTGAAAGTGCCACAAGAGATGAATTTAACCTTGTCATGTAAACATTACAGTTTCTAGATATATCGCAATGTTTTACATTGCATGACTAAAAGGAGAGGGCCACTGCACCCAGACCACTTTATTGTCTATGAAGTGATCTAAGTGACTGTAGTATCCCTTCCCCCAACTCTACCCTATACTACACTCTATCTCCAACACTAAATCCTCACATGTTATATAAATCACATTATGATAACAAATCTTCAAATTAATTCAGATTATATAAACCTATACTTGAAAGCTCCACCACTTTTTTTTAATCCCACACCATGCAGTATTATTCACATACCCACAGAAAAATGTGCAACATTAAAACCACTTTGTTAAACCCTGCACCCACAGCAATACCCACTATCGTTAACTCCAAATATTGTGTATTTAAAGATGCACTGTTACACATTTTCTAATGATTTCAGTAATATGCTTAACTATTAATGGAAGAAGAAAATAGACATCTAATGGTAAATATACAGTTTTGACAGGTATTTCGATTACCTGGCCCCCTTCACTATTATTAGGTTTATTTTAAATGGAATTGGGCTGTCTAGAGGCTTGGGGACCCCTAACTACATGGGAGGGGGGCTGGATATTTTTTTTGTGGCATGTCCAACCCTACTTTATTTAACTAAAGTCTCCAACAACCACTCATGGGTGGGGGCTGATGGCCATTGTTTATTAATTAAAGCCACCTTCCACTAATCGGAGGACTATAGGGGTGGTTGACACAATGTACCCCCCTTTTTATTTAGAGCCCCTAACAGTTGCCCATGGGTGTGCGTTGCTGGGTGTCAGGATACTTACAGGATCCAGAGCAAAGTAACAAAAGGCACAGCAGGAATAATAAAGCAGTGTATTACTTGACCTTAGAATGACTGGACTTAATACTCAGATAGGAAAAACAAAAAAATCAGGAACTCAGGAACAATCCTCAAGGTCAGGAACTAACCAAGGATTGGCACATGAACACCTGGTCAATCAGGAACAAATAGATGAGGCAAATAAATTACCATGAAGTTGCAAGCATCTGGTAATCAGGTAATTCACAATCAGGAGCAATATAACTTGTTTAAAACTCAAAGAATCATGAAACGACACTGAGGCATAAACAGTGATAGTATACACACTGATCAGCCACAGCAGTAAAAAACCCTGTCTAATATTCTGTAGGTCCCTCTTGTGCTGCCAAAATAGTTCTGATGCGTTGAGGCATGGACTCTCTCTAGAAGACCTTTGAACATGTCCACCAAGACATTAGCAGCAAATCTCTTAAGTTCTGTAAGTTGCAGTTGATGTGAGGCCTCCATGGATTTGTTGTTCCAGTACATTTCACAGATAGTCAGTTGGATTGAGATCTAGGGAATTTTGAGTCCAAGGCAACAACTTGAACTCTTTGTAAGTTTCCTCCAACCGTTCCTGAATATTTATTTCAGTGTGGCAGGGTGCATTATCCTACTGAAATACGCCACTGCCTTCAGAGAACACCATTGCCATGAAAGGGTGCACGTGGTTTGCATCAATCTCTAGGTGGATGGCACATGTCAAAGTAACATCTACATAAATGCCAGGACCCAAGGTTTCCCAAAACAATGTCAGAGCATAACGCTGCCTTTGCTGGCTTACCTTCTTTCCATAGTGCATCCTCACTGCCATCTCTTTCCCAGGTATATGCATCCAGTCATCCACCTCATATGTTTTTGAGAGCAGATGTTTTATGTAGTTTATGTGCTGCTTTTTGTCCTCCTCCTACATTCCATCAATGGCTGAAGGCACCCACTTGGAGTTCATGGCCTCTCATCTTCAATAAAGACAAGACTTCTCTGTTGGCCTCTGTCCAGTATGGTTAAGCGTATGGACCCTGGAGTAGTCCATACCTCTTCAACAGCCTCTGAACCCTGCACCATGACCTGGTGGAGACTGCCATATATTTCCACATCCAGGCCATTTGCTCCTCATCCACGGTGCCAATATCACTCAATGGGGACTCCCCTAAAACTGTCCATTCAAATGAGAACCAGGGGGCTCCCATAGCTCTCCCAGATGGACACCTCAGATGAAAAACATTGAATGTTCTGGGGATGGGGGAAGCGCTTATTATCTTGACTTTTGCAAGACTTACTTGTAATGTAATTTCCATTCATCCTTGTCTCCTCTCTTCTCCTTTTCCACCCTCCCTCCCCAGAGGGCACCCTTGGGGCATTTTACCAAGTCTTTTCACATTCTTCCTTTAATTCTAAAGTTCTCTAGTCTCTCCTCTCTAGCTGTTCTTTACTCTCTACACATCATAACGCACCTGCACTCATGACTGTAGCAGGTTCATCACTACTTTTTGCACTTCCCCATTTTACAGTGTTTCCTTCTGGATGCTTGGGGATGCATCACAAGGCTCCTGCAAATGATATGCTTACAGTTTCCCTTTTGTGAAGTCCATGCTGGGTCCCTTGTTGCCTTTAAGCCAGGCAATTACTGGTTCAACCTTTATTGCCCTTACTTTTGCTTATTTGTTTGGCCACTGCGGCCTCTGCCATCACCACCATGGTGGTATTATTATAAGCAACCCCGAGAACAGCATTTATTTTTCTGTTTACTTATTAGCTTCTCCAGCTACTGAAGTCAATCATTTTTCAGTGCTCATTAATAAACCGTGACAAATGGGATAACACTTTCTAAGCTCTCTCCCACATACACCAAGCCTGGCACAAATCAAAGCCTTTCATAGGGTGTGCAAACTCTTAAGACAGTTGGCTGGGACCCCACATATTTGGGTGCATACCTCTGTGTTGGAGGCACGCTGATACCTCTGTGTTAGTTGAGAGTGCTGGAGGAGTTAATTTCCTCAGCACAGGATATGATTCAGGCATACACTGGGATCTGGGCCCAGTGGTTGACCACTACCTATACAGTGGACTTCAAACAATACCCAACTACTCTGTTGATGCTCTAGCCTACTAGGATACAGCAGGTCAAGCAAGATTTAAAGCCAACTCCCCCTACAACCAGGAGGCCCAGTAAAGCTCTGGTTACCAGGCCTTCTTTTACTCAACACACCACTTAACTCATTTCTTTTTCAGGTAATGAAAACGTGGTTCTCCTCCTTTGTTTCCTTAATATTATTTTGATTTCACCTTTTTATTATAAGCTGAATGGTTCAAGGGCTACTGTACTCTAGCCAGCAAGAAAAACTTCCTTGAGAGCCCAACATAAACCCTCAGGACAAGTTGACTGGCACACATAATGTAGAAATATTGTATGTTATATAATACTGGTAATCTGGTTCCATTCACCTAACCTCTTGGTTAATTTGACGATACTCTAGAGACTTTTAGTCCATCCCCATATATTTAGTGTTGCTACATAAATACTGTTTAATTGATCTCTGTTACTTGTACTTTAAATACTTATGACAAGATATGTGCAAATGTACTTTTCTTCATACAAAACCGAAGAAATCCTATTTATAAAAAATGCCCCCAAAAACTGGTATAATCCTACAAGCAGCTCTCCGCACCAGTAAAAAAATAAAAACAAAAGCAAAAACCCCCCTCAAAAGTGCAAAATTTGAAAGAATGAAAAAAAACGTATGAAGTCTGAATACAATATTATCCTTAAGATTCACACTAAAAAAGTAGAGGTATAGTGCGAGAATTGGATCTGTCTCACCAAGTCTATGGGGTGGAGAAACTGACTGGTTTATTCACTAAAGTGAAAATTCAGAAGTCAATTATGCTACTTTGGCCTTAAATGTGAAGTTCACTTTGAATTCGCACATTAGTAAATAACACTGTTATTCTGTAGTTATAGTAGTCATGCACATATTAGAGTAGGCAAAATTGAAACTCACTTCTGTGAATAACCCAGTAAATAAATATGTGGACACGTAGGTTATCATAGGAAAGTCATATTTGTCCTTTGAAACCAAAATGGAATATGTGTGGGTACAGGGCTGGTTCAAGTATTTTTGGCAACACAGGCGAAGATGCAATTATGCCGCCCCCATAATGTGTCTTCGCCTGTGTGTCTCTTAACAATAATTTTGCCTCTTTTGTATATTGTATTCACTTTTTGTGTCTCTTTTCCTCTTTTTGCATATTTTATCCTCTTATTAATCCACTACTTTGGTCTGCAAGGCAAAGTATAGAGAGTGACCGGTGGGAGTGGAATTCAATGCACCCCCTCTTCTGATGGGCACCTGTGCAGCCTTATGGTAGCGCCGGCCCAGTGTAAGGAATCAGAAAATTACAGCTGAACAAAACTTGCAAAATTACTTGTGTCTTCAGTACAAAAAAAAACTAAATGTGGGATTAAATAACATAAGCAAATTGTGTTTCCATATGAAAGATGCGTTCTTCACAGCCAGCTCTCAATAGATTCACTGGGGCATTAAAGTTCTGTAGTAAGAACACACGTAAGCAGTAGCCCATTTAGATAATTTTGTGTTTGTAACATACTTTGATTTACTAATGCTGAGAATGTGTTTTGGTTTTTGTTTGTATTTTTAGGTTATCAGTCACAGTGGCAGACATTGTTATTTGCCCTCATGAAACTGTAAGTACTGTAATAGTTAAGTTATAGAAATTAGAGATGTATAAATAGATGTGAGCCTACTCTCCCTTGTTTACATCTTAAAATCGGTGTGTTTGAGTCACTTGTTGAGTTATATTCTCTGCTTTGCCTCTCAGCGTTATTGTTAGCATTTATATAACACCAACATATTCCTCTGTTCTTTATAATTATAGAAATTTGTAGACCCTGCTTAAACGAACTTTCAATCTGAAAATGCACTTCTTTTCAATATGAAAACATTGGGAGGCTAATGTGTAGGAGTGGCAAAACACTGCTTTGGGCCAATCTATTAAACCATCTAATTAATATAGCTATATCTGTAGACATGCCTCTAGCTCATGTAGGCATTTACACTAGCAGAACAGCAATGTTCAAAGCCAATGTTTAAATTGCAAGGTTAAAACGAGAGGTACATGGCATCTAGACCACTTCATGGGGATTGAAGTGGTCTGGGTGCTTATAATGTCCCTTTAAATAGTTCTTTGCTAACTCTTTTCTTGTTAGGTCCCTTTGGGGTTTTTTTGTTTTTTTTTGGAAAACCAGCCTCAACCCCCATGGAATGTTTCCTTTTTCCAAGAGTGTTCTTGTCATTGGTCCTGCAGAAGATTGCTACCAGTTTCTGAAATCTTCCTTTTATTTGACCATCTGGCTACCTGTAATTTATATGATCTTCAGCTTGTGCTGTGGACACACTTGCAGCTAAGATTAACAGCCACAGTAATTCAAGGTGTTTAGCAGCTGTTTAATTGAGCTTTTATGAAACCAAACCCCTTGTGTTTCTCTGTTGCTATATTTATGTGCAAGCTATGTTCATTACTGCTATCCGTGTGTGTGTGTGTGTGTGTTAGCAGGAGAGGACTAGCAACTTTTGGCCTGGGTGTTCAAATAAAAACAAATTTTTATTTACACAAAACTGTCAGTTCTCTGTATTTTTCAGTTTTATTATCTGCGACAAACTAGAATTTGTGTTATGCTTTTCAAAATATTGTCAGGACACTCCTCATTTTAGGGTCTGTTCTGTTATCTAGATTCCACTGCACGTGTTGCATGAGTACATCATTAGATTCACTATGGGCATGAAGCAGTGAAGAGCAAGGCTGCATAGTGTAGAGCAGTGGAGATGACTACATGGCTATGAATTGTATACCACAAATGCTAGGCACAGCAGGTTCTCTGGCAAATTAAGCTTTCAAAAGAAAGATGTGTAACCAAGAACAGAGAGAATTAATATGTGGTTATTATTTGTAAGCCATGGCACACTAGTTCGGCACTATAAAATAAGAAATTATTTCTTTGGTAAATGATCTTAACATTTCCCTAAGCAGTAGGATGTTGGGCTTCTCTTAAATTTTGCAACAAACTTGAAGCACTTCCAATTTTACAACAAACTAGGAATGGCAGTCAGATATCTCCTTAGTTCAAATAGTTATTACCCCACAAATAAAAATGTATATCCCATAATTATGTTTTGTCAAGTTTTCATCCAGTTGTTGTTTAAACATCTATATAGGCTCTGATAAAACTCAATTTTTAAGCAGAGAATTGTTTGCTGTAAAAAAAACAACAAACTTTTCCTTTGCCTTAGACGAAATCTCCTTTCTTCCAGTCTAAAAAGGGTGATCTTGTGTCCTATGTATAGTCCTATTTATAAATAGATTCCAGGCAATGGTTTGCATTGGCCCTGAATATATTTGTATAATGCTCTATAATGTATCATATCCCCTCTAAGCTGCAGTTTTTCTAAAGTAAACCGATTTAAATTTGTTAACCTTTCTTCATAACTATTAAAATATTTCATTCTTTTTATTAATTTTGCACTTTGCTCCCTCTGCACTTTTTCTAATGCCATAGAATCCTTCTTTAGAAAAGGTTCCCAAAATTGCACAGCATATTCAGATGTGGTCTTACCATTGATATATAAATCAATAAATCATAATTATATGTTATGATATAGAATTAATGCCCCTTTTTATACAAGGCAATATCTTACTGGCCTTAGCATAGCACATTGTTGCCTAGTTTGTTGTCTACGAGAATACCCAAATCTTTCTCACATGCTGTTATCCCTAAATTGCTACCATTTAGGGTGTTAGTTGCTTGTGCATTCTTTACCACAAAGTGCATAACTCTGCATTTATCTACATTACATTTCATGTGCCCTATCCTTCCTAAATAATGTGAAACTATTTGAACTGCCCATTCATGTTTCTCATCCATATTATGCCTAATATGTCGCATTGCCTCTACTTTCCTCATTTTGTTATTTTGGCTCCTTGCGTTAGTAGGTATATATTTAATATTATCACATTATCATATTATCATCATTGTCTGTTGTACTTTGTATTTTTTTTTCTATTGCATAACTCCTCTGTTCTGATCTTGCCCCCACATCTCCACCCCCTTGTGCTGAGCTAAGGTCTATCTCCTTTGTGTCTTTTCTCCATTTTGTCAGTGTGTGTGTGTGTGTCCACCACTAGTTTAAAATCTCTGCCAACCTACTAGTCATTCTGTGCCCCAGCACAGAAGATACTTTTCCGTTTAGGGGCTATCCATCATGGCTATAAAGCTTGTACCCAAGGCCAAAATCAGGTCAGTTCTCTAAAAAGACAAATCCCTAATTCCTATACCATCACTTTAGCCACGCATTAACCTAATATTCCACTGCCTTTCAACTGTAGTGTGCTAACAGGTAATATTTCTGAAAATACGTCCTTGGAGGTCCTCTTCTTCAGTTTACATTATAATTGATACCAATATAGACCATCATAGCAGGATTATCCACAGACCCTCCCAATAATCCATCTACTCTGTCAACATGCCAAACCTGAGCACCCAGGAGACTGCAAACTTTTTGGTTGTTTGGTTGAGATGATCAGATTGGCAGATTACCCTATCTACTCTCTTAATAATAGAGTCCCCTACCATCACAACCTGTCTAATAGTTCTTACATTCTCAACCCTATGAATCACATGTTACAAATGTGAAACCCAGTTGAAACCCATTATTTATAAAATAAATAAATCAATTTTAAACAAAATTAAAAATTAATAAAGGGTGTTGGGTTCAAAGTGTGGACCACCCTAATAAATATTTATGTTTCTATTCAATTCTGGAAAACTGAACAACAGCATATAGGCTAAATCTTAATTAAACATGTGAGGAAGGCTTAACTTGATGGACGTAAGTCTCTTTTCAGCTATATAACTATGTAACTATGTAATTAAATGAGACTAGCGTACATTTAGATAAAGAGGAATACCAGTCCGGTTCCCTAGTTCTACTTTTGCTCAAATAGGGTTACAATAAAGCATGCAGAAATGTGGAGTAAAAGAACGGGAAGAAAATATTCAAAGCACAGAGGATTTGCAAACTTAGTGAGTTGAAAGTTTCTGTAAATAGAAGACTTATGATGGCAATCCAGATACTTGCTATCGGCTACCCGATATCTAAATTACTGTGGAACCCTATGTTCTACGCACGGGGAGGCCTCAACCAAATGCAATGTAAACTCATAATTCAATTTGGAATTGCATAGCACCAGGGTGAATTTTTCAGGCAAATTCCAGATATGGAAGATGGTCTTTTGGGTGTTTAGGAATATTGCCTGGAACAAATATAGAAAATGGACAGCCCCTGGGAGAGCAGCATGGGAAAGTTTAAAAGACAATTAATATAGATGCAATACATCTGTGTGAGAACAGGCTCAAAAAACTAAAAAGTCAATTATGGGTAGTCAGGAGCTAAGCGGAATGTAATGCAATCCACCGGTGCATCTCCTACTATAAAGGAAAAGAAAAAAAGTAAAGTATTTTTCTTTTGAGAATGTCATGGGGGGAGAACGCTGACCATATATGCATACGGCTTGTGGGTATCACGTGGTTCAGATATACACTGTTAGACACATTCTCTGTTAGACACATATACACAGATTCCCACTGTCAGACACATGCATATATACACAATGTCAGACACACACAGGGATCTTTATTTATTAAAGTCCCAATAGTCCCTTAGCAAATGAACCCAAACTTTCCAGTTCTGCATGGGGTCATGTGGGCAGCAAAATCTAGACATTGTTCACACTATTAAAAGTTCGGAATTTGCAAGTAAGGCTCCAAAAGAGATATGACCTTTCCCACCCCTTACAAATAAAGTGACCAAAAAGGAGCTTTAAAAATAAGCTGCAACTTAAAAAAAAAAGAAATGAGGAAAGTGTGCTAACTAAAATTGTTTTTTTTTTTGTTTTTTTTAAAGACTCATCTATGTTAGTATACAAACTTTCTCCAATTAGCAATGCAACCAAAAGATAAAACAGAATAAACAATAATAGTGCAGACTGTATTATAGACTAACAAAAAGTAACGATGGTCCAGGCACTCAAGTTCAATCAGTGGGCAGATTTATTGGAGCAAAATCGAAACAACGTTTTGGCCCACAACAGGGCCATTGTCAAGCTAACCACAAGTGTATTGATATCCATTATAAAAGGTAATCAATTCAACAAATAACACAATGTATATCAAGACAAAGATAATCAATTACATATCACATTAATCACATGTTAATAATGCATACCAATAAAGCATAAAAAATTGTTAAAAAAACATCCAGCAATTATAGCAACTTCCAACAAGTTTGTATTTTAAAGTTTGTTGGATATAATATATCCTTTAGTTTATTTAATTCTCTAGTTGTTATATATTGTCTTCCCTCTAAGAACTTATATGAAAATAGGACAATATATTATCCACCATCAATGTTAAATAACAGAATAATGGCTTTGAAGGGGTGTGTCTTAGCCACCATCTTGAATGGCCATCATCTAGAGGAGCTCCTGGGACATTGGGAGAATAATGTTCCAAAAGTGACATATATCATTTTATTTCACCTAATTTGAGCATTGATATCCCTTTAACAACATTCAGTTAATATGCAGAAACAAACAAGACCTGAAAAGAGTGCTTCTGCAACAAAGAAAATCGATGGAGGTGCTGCATGGGTTTGCTTACAAGGGGTAGTGGTTATGGTGCTTACAGTGTTCCTTTAACGGGATATATATAAAAAAAATGGGATATACAGTTATTCTGCTGTTCAATTTTGGAGGACTACAATACAGTTAGTATTAGTATGCTGCTTTTTCTTACTAAACTCATTTCATATTTGCCCAGTAAATATATAAGACTTTGTTGTTCCAATCCATTTCATTCAAAATGAGATAAATTATTATCATTATTAACTCACAGCATGGTAAAAACTGTGAAAATGTGGTTGTGGAATATCTATAAATATTATTTTATTTTTTTTAGGCGAAAAGGCAATACGAGAAAATCATTTCACACTGGCCATCCATTCTTTGTTTCCTGTTCCTGTTGTACCGATTTGTTTACACATTTATTTGCAGAAATAAACCTGGAGAAGGTGGCTACAAGGTAGGTACAGTATATTTTTTTAGAAATTGTTTGCTTCTCTGACATAAACAGGTTGTTTAATAAGGTTATCTGACATTTTAGTACATTTGGATTATTATTTAGATTGTATAAATGAAATATATATTTATAACTTTACATGCTAAAGATTTTGAATTGTGTGTATGAATAATCTCAGTTCTTTTATACATACCATGTTGATTTCTATTACATTTTCTAAAAAAAAAATGTACTGTCAGGGCATTTCTTTGTAGGCATTCATGGGCGTCCTCAGGGTGGGGGGGGGGGAGCTGCAACGAGCAGCAAGCAACTCCCAGACTGCAGAGACAGCCTACAGATCAGGTAAGTGAGGAATGGGGGGCAGCCTACAGATCAGAGTAAGTGGGGATGGGGGCAGCCTACAAATCAGGTAAGTGGGGATGGGGCAGCCTACAGATCAGGTAAGTGAGCAAGGGGGGCAAGAGGGGGCAGCCTACAGGTCATAGTAATTGAGGATGGGGGGCAGCCTACAGATCAGGCAATGAGGCATGGGGGCGGCCTACAGAGCAGGTAAGTGAGGGAGCAGCCTACAGAGAAGGTAAGTGAGGGATGGGAAAGCAGCCTACAGATCAGGGGAGTGAGACATGGGGGGGCAGCCTACAGATCAGATAGGTGAAGGATGGGGGGCATCATACAGATCTGGGAAGTAAGGTTTGGGGGGCAGCCTACAGATCAGGTTAGTGAGGCATAGGGGGGCAGCCACAGATCAGCTAAGGGGAGGCATGGGGGCAGCCTACAGGTTGGAGGTAAGTGAGGCATGGGGGGCAGCCTACAGATCAGGTAGGGGAGGCATGGGGGGCAGCCTACAGATAAGGTAAGTGAGGCATGGGGGACAGCCTTCACATCAGGTAAGTGAGGGATGGGGGCATCATATAGGAATGGTCAGCAAGGAGCAGCAAGGTAAAGTAGGAGAAGGAGCAGTAATGAGCAGAAAGGGACATCAAGGAGTAGAAAGGGTCAGCAGTGAGCTGGAAAGGACAGAAAAGCAGAAAAGAACATAAATGAGCAGGGAGAGGCAGAAATGAGCAGGAAGAGGCAGCAATTAGCAGAACGAGTTTGCTAGGAGCAGGAAGGATCTGCAAGGAGCAGAAAGGGGCTGCAATGAGCAGAAAGAGTCAGCAAGGGGCAGGAAGGGACAGAAGGAGCACAAAAGTAAAGAAGCAGAAAGAATCAGAAGATAACAAAGGTAACGTAGGAGAAGGAGCAGAAAGGGGCAGCAAGGAGCTGGAAGGGACAGAAGGAGCACAAAAGGTAAGGTAGGAGAAGGAGCAGAAGGGAACAGAAATTAGCAGGAAGGGTCAGCAAGGAGCATGAAGGGGAAGGGACTGCAAGGAGCAGAAAGAGTCTGCAAGGAGCAGGAAGGGGCAATAAGGGTCTGCAAGGAGAAGGAAGGGGCTGCAAGGGGCAGGAAGTGACAAAAGGAACACAAAGGTAAAGGAGCAGAAAGAATCAGAAGGAGCACAAAGGTAAAGTAGAAGAAGGAGCACAAAGGGCCAGCAAGGAGCTGGAAAGGGCAGCATGGAGTAAAAAGGGTCAGGAAGGAGCTGGAAGGGGTAGAAGGAGCTCAAATGTAAAGTAGAAGAAGGAGCCAAAAGGAATAGAAATGAACAGGAAGGGGCAGCAAGGATCCGGAAGGGTCTGCAAGGAGCAGGAAGGGCAGCAAGAAGCAGGAAGGGTCTTCAAGGAGCAGGAAGGGTATCAAAGGAGAATAAAGTGTCTTTTATTTACTGAGTATCAGGAAGTACAGAGTGCCGTTGGGTAGGGGTGTCACTGATTGGCTAGAGCGGTCAGCTGGCAATGTAAGCCAATCAGTAGTTCCCCATTCATAAAAAAGTTAAACATTTTTATGAACCGGGAGCTAGCAATTGGCTTAGAGCGTAAGCTGACTCTAGCCAATCAGTGGCACCCATCCCTGACATCAATCTGCACTTCCGGAAACTCCATTTCATAAACCGAATACCACTGAGCGACATGGAGATCTGGAGCTGGAGGGTTAAACCATTTGAGAGCAGTTTAACCCCTTAAAGGAAAGAGAGCACCCAGGGGCCTCCTAGCATCATAGCATTTTTATTTAAATGAAGTTTTTATGGTTACCAGAATGTTCCTTTAATTTGATTAAAGGAACACTCTAGTGTCACGAATACACACATGTATTCCTGACACCATAGTTGTGAAAATGCTATTCACCCTGGCTTTATGTGATAATGACTATGCCCCTCCCCTTCATGACACTGTCAAAAAGGGGCCAAACATGGATGTCATTATAATTATGCCCCCCACCCCCCCTCTAAAATATTCCTGCGGACGCGCATGTAGGCATTCAGTTGTTTATGCTTTGAAGTTATTACAGGACCAGTTTACATGTATCAATAAAGCATGAAACGTATATCTATAAATTGTAATACGATAAAAATTAGAGACCTAAATACTTTGAGTTTCAAGTAACCTTTAAATGTTCAGTAGCAAGAACCACAAATAAATTGTATGAGATATTGTCTATCTGGCTAATTTGTAGTGAAACAAGGAAACTGGATTATATTGATTCTGCTTTTGTATTAACGGTATAAGATTCCTTAATTTATTGGAAAAAACATTGAAAAGCATCCGTTCAAAATGGAAATGATATGTTATGAGATCTTCAGTCACATTATTAATACTGGTAATTTCCCTGATCATGTTAAAAATAAGCATCTTTGATGTTAAATATCTTATATTTGAGTTACTACAGTTCAGTACAAAATTAAAAAAAAATTCAAAAGTGTAAATATTTATCTTTCCATCTTAAAGGACCAAAATCTCATACTACAAGCACACCAGGCTGAACATGTCAGAAGGCTCTTGAGGAAGCCTGTAGAGTAAGTATGGTGCTTCCTTGTGTCCAATATACATTTTTCATTTATTTCTGTTTTAATATACATACCATGAGAAGATGCAAAACCATTACTGCTTTTTGGCAAAATTTAGAGGATCCTAAAAACATGACTTCAGATTTTTTATATTATATTAGATATCTGAAATTGATATACCTATGGAAGCATTCTAATGGAAAATGTATTTATTTATTTAGAAAATATTTTACCAAGAAGGATAAATTGAGATTTCTCTTGTTTTCAACGATGTCCTGAGGAGGGTTAGCATTGATGATTAGGAGGTGTCTAAATTAAACATTCAAATAAATAGTTTAATAGTATATTTAAAGCTAGAGTTGGGTGACAACCTTAATGCACCACTGTCTTTTTTTTTTCTTTTAGTTTTCCTTTCCTGGTGTCTGTTGTTTCTTAATGATTATACTTCCTCCCCTTGCCACGTGTTTTTATTTGTATTTGTTATTAATATTATTTTTTTTAATTATTATTATTATTTTTAAAGCGCCAACAAATTCTGCACTGCTGTACAATGGGTGGACGAACAAACAATTTGGACGCACAGGAACAGAGGGGTTGATGGGTTTAGTATGATGTATGGCAGATTTTGTGACTGCACAATACATAAGGAATGAGAAAAACAACTTGAAAGCTGGATTTCCAGGAAGAAAAAAATCCCCAAAACCTTTTTATTTTTTCAATTAGAAACAAAACTTAAAAAGTATTAGTCTTTCACTTATCAAAAAAATACTCTGCTGGAACAGGGGAAGGGAGAAGGCATGAGGCGGATTTTGAAGCTTAATACAGATACAAAAAATTACATATAATAGTGAAATACTGTATGGAAATATATAAGAATGATGCGCTATTGGGTTACACTCACAGGATGAAGGAATGTATAAAGGCCTTAGGGAGCCTCCCCTGATGGAGATAGGGGGCTAATCCAACAACTCCTCCTTTCCAGCGATAGCTCTGCAGCATGAAGGGCCGGACTCAAGGTTGAAAAGTATAGAAACATAGAAACATATAATGTGACGGCAGATAAGAACCATTCAGCCCATCTAGTCTGCCCAATTTTCTAAATACTTTCATTAGTCCCTGGCCTTATCTTATAATTAGGATAGCCTTATGCCTATCCCACGCATGATTAAACTCCTTTACTGTGTTAACCTGTACCACTTCAGCTGGAAGGCTATTCCATGCATCCACTACCCTCTCAGTAAAGTAATACTTCCTGATATTATTTTTAAACCTTTGTCCCTCTAATTTAAGACTATGTCCTCTTGTTGTGGTAGTTTTTCTTCTTTTAAATATAGTCTCCTCCTTTACTGTGTTGATTCCGTTTATATATTTAAATGTTTCTATCATATTCCCCCTGTCTCGTCTTTCCTCCAAGCTATACATGTTAAGATCCTTTAACCTTTCCTGGTAAGTTTTATCCCGCAATCCATGAACCAGTTTAGTAGCCCTTCTCTGAACCCTCTCTAAGGTATCAATATCCTTCTGAAGATACGGTCTCCAGTACTGTGTACAATACTCCAAGTGAGGTCTCACCAGTGTTCTGTACAATGGCATGAGCACTTCCCTCTTTCTACTGCTAATACCTCTCCCTATACAACCAAGCATTCTGCTAGCATTTCCTGCTGCTCTATTACATTGTCTGCCTACCTTTAAGTCATCAGAAATAATCACCCCTATATCCCTTTCCTCATATGTTGAGGTTAGGACTCTATCAAATATTCTGTACTCTGCCCTTGGATTTTTATGTCCAAGATGCATTATCTTGCACTTATCCACATTAAATGTCAGTTGCCACAATTCTGACCATTTTTCTAGTTTACCTAAATCATTTGCCATTTGACTTATCCCTCCTGGAACATCAACCATGTTACATTTCTTAGTATCATCAGCAAAAAGACATACAGTATATACTCGAGTATAAGTCTAGTTTTTCAGCAAATTTTTTGTGCTTAAAAACACCCACTCGACTTATACTCGAGTCACTGTCTGTATTATGGCAACTTAGAGAGCCGCGGCCGTCAGAGCCGTGGAAACGATCCGCGCGGCAACCAGACCGCGAGACTTACAGTGGAGCTGACCGGAACGGAGGAGAAGGGAGCTGACAGGAGCTGCAGGAAATGTAAGTAAATGCTTCCTGCCGGCCCCCCCACTTCACAGCCCATGCCACTGGACCACCAGGGATTAAGATAGCCCCCCTCCCTGACCGGTTAACAAGCAGGGAGGGGGGACAAAAAAAATTAAAATAATTAAAAAAAATAATATTAAAATAAAAAAAATTTAAATAATAAAAATGCCCTCCCCCCACCCAGTTCACACACACTACACAAACATACACTCTTCATTATATACACACTCTGCATTATATACACAGAGTCTGTGTATATAATGTAGAGTGTGTGTTTGTATGAGTGTGTGTGTGTGTGTATATAATGCAGAATGTGTGTTTGTATGAGTGTGTGTGTATATATAATGCAGAGTGTGTGTTTGTATGAGTGTGTGTATATATAATGCAGAGTGTGTGTTTGTATGAGTGTGTGTGTATATAATTATAAAAATCACAGAATTTCATAGCCCCAAGTTTTACCCTCGACTTATCCACGAGGCATAGCATATTTCACAATTGTTGGTCACAAAACTGCACTCGACTTATACATGAGATCGACTTATACACGAGTATATACGGTACCTTACCATCAAGACCTTCTGCAATATCAATTATAAAAATATTAAAGCGAATGGGTCCAAGTACAGATCCCTGAGGTACCCCACTGGTGACAAGTCCAAGCTTCGAATATATTCTATTAACTACAACCCTCTGTTGCCTGTCACTCAGCCACTGCCTTACCCATTCAACAATATTGGAATCAACTTAAAGATTGCAGTTTATTGATAAGTAAGTATATACTGCTTTATTCATAAAAAAGTATTAAAAACAAACACAATTTTAAATAAATTGGTGCTATACCAGGTCCTATGCTTTTTATCCAACATGACTTCCTCAGGGACCTTTAGATATGCTAAGCAACCAAGTGAGATGCAATACAAAATCACAATGTAAAAAAGCAGTAATAATCCCTCCCCCCGAGTCACTCTTTTTATATGACCCGTATCTCTTCTTATTGGTGGTCCAGTAGGTGTTGTACTCCGATTTTCCCAGTTTCTGCCGATCATACCATGTAGTTTGACATAATTTCTGGGGCACCGATTATCGGCTGACTCTTTCTGATGATGCATTCGTTCCACTTGGTGGCTATTTTGCATTCCACCTTTAGTTCGCAAAACAGACTTTGGTGGGATCTCCCTCCCAAAAGTGAATAAACTTGACATTAGTCTGTCAAGCTTACAGGCATGATATATGCATCAAATTGGAAAAGAACTCTTAGATTGTAATGACTTATAGAAAGCTGGACAAGTGCTTCTGGATATTATTCCCACAATAGAGACATAAATTAACAGTATAGACAAAACCTAACCAATTTATAATGGATATGGGCATGTAGATTAGAATGTCAATTGCCATTCTTAAGGATGTAAACATTATTTTAATTTAATTTTATTTCTATTTTTATTTTTTATTTCTATTTTATTTAGAATATATTTTAATCAATATTTCTATTTTTATATTGGCTTTTATTTTTCCATTGATATTTATTATTATTTTATTTACATTTTACTTTATTGTGTTCCATTCCATTTGTATTCATATATTTTCATTTTTATTTTTCAATTTGTATAGAGTTCTTGTTACCCATATACATATATATAATAAGTGAAAAGCTCCCATATTTCAATTCATGTATGTACTATGAATCATTGCTGGATAAAGTGCTTAGACACATCCCTAAATAGAGATTATTTATAATGATTACATCCATAAGAATGGAAATTAATGTTCTAATCTCTATGCCCATACCAATTATAAATTAGTTAGGTTTTGTCTATGCTGTTAATGTATGTCTCTATTGTTGGAGTAATATCCAGAAGCACTTTTCCAGCGTTCTATAAATCATTATAATCTAAGAGTTCTTCTTATTTTCCTATTCCTTTATATTGTGAGTGTAACCTTTTTTTTAGATTTACAGCTGTATCTTCTATACTTTTTGTTGTATCTATATTGTGTTTTAAAGGATACGTTCTGGGATATCCCTGGAGGAAGCTGTCACCACTATCCATTGACTTTTGTTTCACTACACTATTAACTCCAGGTGTGGGTGATATATTTTTTATGACCCTTTTTGGTGTACAGATTCTGAAGTTTACATTTTTTTTGTCTTGGTGGCATGTCATCAGAGACAACTAACCCAGTAGAGCAGGGATGCCTAAAAGGTAGACCCCCAGATGGTTTAAAACTGCAGCTTCCATGATGTGATCTTTGTGATTCTAAAGGCATTGTAAAAGCATGCAAAGCCTTGTGGGAGTTGTAGTTCTACATCATCTGGGGCTCTACCTTTTGGGCACCCTTGCAATAAAGGGTCCAATTATTTAGGGGAACATACATAATCAATTGACAATCAAAATCAAGTACAATCTGACAAATTTCGCAAGCCAGCAGTATAATATATAAGTGCTTATATCAAAAGCAATTCTGATTTCTAATTTCATTGTGTTGTTTGAGGCTAATGTGATACATAATACAAGGGTAAAACCACAAGAATATATGGCGAAGAATAAACGGTCCCCTGCTAATCTATATGTCCAAGAGTATGGGGTTATGATTTGCAATGGTTTTCTTTACAATGAATTGAGGGATGCAGTTTCACAATTCAGGCACTGTGTGAGGGGAGAGAAGATCTGTCTCAGTAAAGTCTGCTACCAGTGAAGATCCATCGCCCTGCCCCATTCCTGCCACTGAGGAAGCAAATAAAATGAAAGAACTGTGGGGTTCTCACGGCTGCTTCCTACTTCTGGGTGAATTCAGCAGGAAGTAGAATGACTTAGGTGGTATGGGAGGCAGAGCACAGACCAACATTATGTTTTGAAAAGTAACCTGTACTCAGTGGCAGAAAAGGAGTTGCTAAGGTTGGAAGTGTTACCAGGCCCTCTGTGTTCCACCTGTCATGGAGCCCATGAGCTGGGTGGCTGGCCAATTTAGTGCTCCCAACTCTGACAGCTTTGGGTAAAGCAGAGTAGGCACCTGCTTACCCAAGTGGAAGGAGCCTACTCTGCCTAAATGTACTGTGTCAGGAAGTGGGCTGAGGCCATATATTCTAAAAGACAACATAGCCAATCTGGCAAATTTAAATGTGCAAAAACTTTGGCCAATGTTTGTGACTACGTGGCTACTAAAAAAGACTGTACATAACCCATTTTGAATTTCTTGGATTGCCTAATTTTCGAAATGGTATTCCATGATGGACGTAATTTTAATTCCTTGGCTGTCATACAGTCTCAAAGGCAACATAGGCCAATCTGGCAGATTGCAAAGTGTAAAAACTGGAAAGGGGAAATCCTTGTATTAGAACCTATAAGTTTCCAAAACCCCAAAGAACCTGTACATGGGGGTACTGTTTTACTCAGGAGACATTCCTGATCACAAATGTCTAATGTAAATTTTATTGCAGTAAAAGCTAACAGTATTAGCCATTCACAGTTCAAATGTTAAGTAGAACTAAAAAAAAGTTTCTTATTTTCTCACACTTTTTTTGTTTTTATTTATATAAAGTGATATTCCATATATACAAAATTGATGTAAAATGAAAGCCCTGTTTCTTCTGAACAAAATTATATATAAAAAGTGTGGGTGCACTTTATATGAAAGAGGTAAATTATGGTTGAACAGACATAGTCAAATTCCAGATTTTGTTTTGATCAGAACTTCTAAATTGCCTCCGTCCTTAAGGGGTTAAAATAAACTTCCTTTTGTTTATTTACAGAAAGCATAAGTCATGGTTTGAAAGAAATATCTACACTTGGGATCCATGTTTTAAATTTCCCAACAGAATAATTGGCACAACAGTCCTGGCCTTGTTCTGTCTGTACATTGTAAGTTGTATATAAAAGTATGTATTTTGAAGGAGCTGCAATTTATATCGACAACTTTAAAAGGAGTGTGTTCCTCTCATTTCAAAAATTTGACTTCCTTGGCCCTCATCTCAATAGATACATTTTAGGGGTAATGAACAGCATCCATGTTGGAAACAAACTTTCCCAAGTTGAGCTGCTGGGCCATTTTAGAATCTTACTATAGATTGGGCTAGACAGGGTCTTTCCTAATCCTCTTAAATCTAGTGTGGTAGGTGTGTCTCTTACCTCATGTGTGCCCCCCTGTGAGGATATTTATGGGGTGATAAATATTAAAATAATATTTTCATAAAAAATATCAAAAAAATTTAATTTAATAATTTTTATTATATCAAAATTGATATCTTGGCACTGTCCCCCGAAATTAATAATATAAAGCTGAGAATTACTCACAATATTAATTCTCTTAGATCCTAGAGCAAGTCATCAGAGGATTTTACCTCACACAGTGATCATAATTTCTTTATAAAAATACAATTTATTGTGACAATAATAATAAAAATAATATGTAACATACGTGACAATAATCAGTGAATATTTAGTATAACATAGGCATACAAAAATGGCAATGGTTTAAACAATACAGCGGTTAAAAGCAATCAGCTGTCAAGAGAATAGGGTACTTCAATTCATACTGACACAAAGATTCACACACCGGCATATACAAAAACTGATGCACAACAGCACATAGTGGCACACAGATACACACACTGACAAAAACACTAACACACAGATGCACATACTGACAGATAGACACACCTTGGCAAACAGATACAAACACACTGGCACAATGATATAAACACAGACACACACACACACACTGACAGCTACACTGACACCCAGGGTTCTGTGGAACACGAATTGGGAAACGCTGCTCTAGACAATTGCCTGCCTCTTGAGTTCCTTTAAGGACAAAACATTTTTTTATTTTAAATAATCATGCAAGATCATACTGGCAGTGTTTCAGCCCCATTGCTAATCGTCATGAGCCCCAAGAAATCATGTAACCCCCAAGATAAATAAAGAATATATTGTTATACAGGGCCATGGGAAATGGAGCAATTCAACTTTATAATACATTATGGAAGTTCATTTGCTACTCTCCCTGCTGCCTTTGTAAAACAATATATGCCTCAGTTAACTCTGTTATTTTATAAGTCCTGTAATTGCTTTCCTTCTCTGTGCCCATTGGGTGTCCTTCACACTAAGGCACTCATGATGAGCATCTCTGATCTAGATAATGGTTGGGTGCCACGACACTTTAACTGTCAGATCAGCAGTGCTGGGAGGAAGTGAGTTCAGGTCATCTCTTCCAGGTTAAAGAGCCGTGTTGGAGAGCAGACATAGAGCCTGGACCAGTGGGGTTGCTATTAACAGTTTAATTGACATTGTAATAAAGTGCTGAAAGATCAAAAATAAGAAAAAGGATTACCTCATTTTGATCTTACACCTGTTTAGTAGTTATCTCTTAAATCTAATATCCTTATGTGGGATTGCCGTATATATAAGGATACACAATTTTTGTTTAGTAGATTGCTCCTTAGTATGGTATCTTTATACATGGCAACACTGATGCGATGAATTATATAATATTATATATATATATATATATAAACATTTTTCAATGGCTGCTCTCATATTTAATATGCTTATGATAGCAAGAAAATGTAAAACCAGGCTAGTAGGTCATGACCTGAGATTTTGAGCCCTGTCCTAGTTAGAGCTCCAATTCTTCTCCTATGAAGTTATCAATACTGATAACTTGTGTCCATCCAATAAAATGCTTCTCAGAGCATTGGGATACATGGCACATCCGTGTTTTTCTATGAGAAGCAGTCACTTCCACTTTGAAATATAGTAAAAAGCAAGCGAGGCACGAACCCCTGATGACATGTTTCAGAAGGATCATTTACTACATGAGTTTGATATTCATTTAATGTTAGAAAATAAACAGAAATTCAGTGTCAAATTTACTTATTAATTTTGAAGCCAAAATTACATTTCTGAAGTTCTAAATTGCATTTGCGTATTGCCACTACTATATGCTGCTTTCTGTTAGATGCTATATCATCCATAGAAATAGGCATGTGCATTAATTTCCACACTACTGGCAAAATGAACAAAAATGTTGGTTTTAGTTAATTTCGTATGAAGATTTCTAACAAATTGCCATGCGAGCAAACGGCTAAGGGAACAAACGAGCCACTGAACGTATTGTGTTTTATGCCATTCATTTAGTCATATTAACAGTGGAATTCTGCCGCAAATAAATATTCAAATAATTCTTATTTTATCTGCCTGTGAGTTTGTGCATGCAATATTTTGCTTCCATTTTGTATTAATCCTGTTTTACAAACAGGATTCATTTATTTCCATAGGGATTAATGGTTGAATGAAATTTGTTAAACTTGTGAAAATGGAAAACATTTTGTAACAACATATAAAACCAACACAAATCTGTTATTCCAAGCACATGCCTACATAGAAATAAAACTATATGATTAACTTTTACTGCTGTTATTGTTTTATGCCACTAATTATTGCTACTTCTTCTTCCAGTTAATTACTCAAGAATTCAACGGCCTTAAAATGATTATACAAATGTTAAAATCAATACACACTGAAACATTTCGCCAATTTATTCAAGACTTTGCTAACGCAATACACGGTAAAAAGAAAATAATTAATGATCTTTTATTGACAGCAATTAGACATGTTGATAAGTTGATACAGTTAGTTCATTTAGCCTACTTTAATTATCTTTATGCAGTAATTCTGATTAGTTTATTTAGTAATATAATTCTATAACAATACAGGCTCAAATTGAGTTCATTATATTCAGCCTTTCACATATATCCGTTTTTGTTGATCCAAAAGATGATAAAAAAAGGAGATGGCAAAATTTATATAATACCTGTATGTTTGATGGTCACCATTGCCGCTGCTGCCTTAAATAGCAAACTTGCATCCTTTAGGGAGCATATGTCAAACCAAGCAGTTTTCAAACCAATATCACTAGTAAGATTTGTAGTAAAAAATAATTTAAACAACCTGACCTATGTGGCGAAACTAACCTCGCCACTGGGCACTGAAGAAGACTAATTGCCGGCCTCTTGCCATGTCACTATGGCCCCTGGGAGACTTTGCCAGTTAAAAACACTATTTGGACTTATTGGTGTTTAAAAGACTGTTCTGGCCCTTTAATTGGAACTGGCACAATTCTGCACCTTTGATTCCATTGGAGAATGTGCCTTCTCCTGTCTCATTGTTCTCCAGCAGGGCATTGTCCCAGGGACACTGCCAGACCAGTTTATACTGGCTGCTTTGTCCCTCCTCAATCTCTATATCAGCCCTTGCTAAACTTAAACCCCATGGCGATTTGACTGTGTTCGTGGGATCTGAGCGCTGTTCGATATATTGAGCGCTCAGATCCAAGCTATCTGGGGAATGTGGGGGTTCTGTTCAGTATGATAGGATTTATGTATTTTTGTGTATTTTTGCTGTTGTTGTGAATAGAGATATTTTCTGTACCTGGAGATAATTGGCTTACCACACCCAATCCATGCTTGCAGTCGGTCAAAAAGGACTTCTAGCTAACTTTTTAACCACTGAAGGTAATTGTATGATTGAGTATGTTTGTATTTGGAGTATGCTGATTCTGAAAATGTAAGTTTTATGTGAATGTGATGTATACTTTTAGAGTTATGAATATTGGGTAAAACTGTGTATTTTCCTGGCTTTGATAATTACTTTAGCCCATTGTGTTCAGTAATTATATCACAGGCAGAGAGGAGGATTTTGCTGTAATAAATGGGAGTGTCAGACATTGTTGTATTATTTTGATTGGTTTGTGTCCTTTGTATGCCTGTGTACCATCAGGTTCAGGGGGTGTGCCTCTGGTCTGGGGAATTGATTTCCTGTTTGGCTGTTTGGAGTGTAAACCTTTCGTATGGTTTTTCCTGTTTGGCAGTTTGGAGTGTAAACCTTTCGTATGGTTTTTCCTGTTCGGTGGATTGGTGTATTTAGTAGCTGCCTTTGCATCTGGAAAGGAAATATCTCCTAAACGGCTTTAACCCCTTTCATGCCCGAGGTGCCGTTACAACATATATATATATATATATATATATATATATATATATATACATATGCAATTTGTTACAAAAAAAAAAGTTATTCAATAAAGGTTTTTCCACTGATATTTTCATCTCTTCTTGGTGAAGTGTTTTAAAAAGTGTTTTAAAAGCTACAAGGAGAAGACAACTTATATTTAAACTCCTTTGGAATATGTTTTGGCTTTCTTCTATTGGTTAAACAGTAAAACATATGATTTTAGAGGCTACATGATCATGACTATTGGGAAAATGTATTGCTCTCAACCCACCACTAGATTTTCTGGGTGCATTTGCCCTCCCCAACACTCTGCTTGCTTCAGTTATAGTGGGCATTATGAAAAGGTTCATTTTTCTAAAGCCACAAGAAATGTCCAAAGAAAATAAGAAAATTTGCCTAAATTCATTACACTACCTTCTGAGCAAGTCTTCTAGGACAACACGTTGGCAAGATGTTAAGAAATATTGGTGAAGGAAGCAATATTGTCGTGCTATTCTGATTGTGAGAGAGATGGAACACAGTTATAGAGAATAGATAAAATATTGACATGGAGTTAGTATGCATTTATGATGACCTTAAAATCTTTTTAATCTTGTTTGTCTGTTCATTTAGGTGTCTGGTATTTTGCAACAATCTTATCATCCCTGACAACTGTTTCTTATATATTTCATATATTAGCCTGCTACAGGTAAGCAACACTGACGTGCGTTATTTTTATATGTGTTTTGTAGAGGTAATTGATCTAGTAACAAGCAAGAGTAAGTTAATGAATATTAAATAATTAAAGAACTGTTACAACATTAATATATATTTTTTTTCATTTCTTGGTATTATGGTTGAATATGTAGAGAAAATACACAAATCATTGTAATCAGGGCTTACAATTTTCTCTTGCCACTAGCCATTGGCGAGTGAAAATGTAGCCCTTGCAAGTAAACATTAACCGCTGGTGAATGCGCCATGGACCTTCCATGCTTGCAATGTCAAGTAACCTTTGAGGCCTGGCTAACAGCATAAGACTTGGAATTGTACGTCCTGGTTGAAATATTATATGATAATTTTCTACGAGAATTTATAGTAAGTAACAGCAAATTACATAAAGAATGCATTACAGAAGTTAATAACATAATGCCCAAAGGCCTGACCATCTGGGGACTGAGGAGAGATCTGAAGTTCTTTGCTACAGCCTGGAAAAGGAAGTAGCAAATAACTCTTTTAACTCTCCTTTTATTCCCAGTGGGATGCACTGAGAGAATCAGTGATTAGCCTGACCCATGATGTCTCCAATAAGCACATGGCATAAGGAAACCATGTGGTGGAAATTCATCCTGTGAGGGATTCAACTTATAGAACGGGGGATAGATAAAAAATGCTGCCTACCACTCACCCTAAAAATAGTGATAATTGTAATACCTGTTAAAATATATATTGATACTCTGAAGAGAGTTCAGAGAAGGGCTACAAAACTGGTTCATGGATTCCAGGGTAAAACGTACCAGAAAAGGTTAAAGAATCTTAAAATATATAGCTTAGAGGAAAGCCAAGACAGAGAGGATATGATAGAAACATTTAAATACATAAAGGGAATCAACACAGTAAAGGAGAAGACTATATATTGAAAAGAAGAAAAACTACCACAAGAAGAGAACATAGTCTTAAATTAGAGGAGCAAAGTGTGGGATTAGTGATGTCGTGAACACGAAATTTTCGTAGACTTCAATGGGCAGGCGAATTTTAAAACACACAGGGACTCTTTCTGGCCACAATCGTGATGGAAAAGTTGTTTCAAAGGGACTAACACCTGGACTGTGGCATGCCGGAGGGGGATCCATGGCAAAACTCCCATGGAAAATTACGCAGTTGATGCAGAGTCTGGTCTTAATCCATAAAGGGCAGAAATTACCTAACATTCCTAAATCACAATGGATATGGATTGATACCTGACATATGACATATTGACACAGAGCAGAATAGGGACTGTTCCCCCTACATAGGGTCACTTGGCAGGTATGGATTGACACCTGTCCTCAGAGACCATGATACACACTGACACAGAGAAGAATAGAGACTGTTCCCCCTACATAGGGTCACTTGGCAGATATGGATTGACACCTGTCCTCAGAGCCCCTGATACACACTGACACAGAGCAGAATAGAGACTGTTCCTCCTACATAGGTCACTTGGCAGATATGGATTGACACCTGTCCTCAGAGACCATGATACACACTGACACAGAGCAGAATAGAGACTGTTCCCCCTACATAGGGTCACTTGGCAGATATGGATTGACACCTGTCCTCAGGGACCATGATACACACTGACACAGAGCAGAATAGAGACTCTTCCCCCTACATAGGGTCACTTGGCAGATATGGATTGACACCTGTCCTAAGGATCCCTGATACACACTGACACAGAGCAAAATAGGGACAGTTCCCCCTACATAGGGTCACTTGGCATATATGGATTGACACCTGTCCTCAGAGATCATGATACACACTGACACAGAGCAGAATAGAGACTGTTCTCCTACATAGGGTCACTTGGCAGATATGGATTGACACCTGTCCTCAGAGATCATGATACACACTGACACAGAGCAGAAAAGAGACTGTTCCTCCTACATAGGGTCACTTGGCAGATATGGATTGACACCTATCCTAAGGATCCCTGATACACACTGGGGCGGGACCTACTGTCCTCCCCCTCCCCCACCCCTGCGCGGTGGGTGGGGGCCATAAATCACAATGGGGGAGGACCTACTGTCCTCCCCCCGCCCCTCCCCTGCACGGTGGGTGGGGGCCATCAAAATAATGAGGGGGGGACCTAGTGTCCTCCCCCCGCCCCCACCCCTGCACGGTGGATGGGGGCCATCAAAATAATGAGGGGGAGGACCAATAGGTGTCAATCCATATCTGCCAAGTGACCCTATGTAGGGGGAACAGTCCCTATTCTGCTCTGTGTCAGTGTCTGGGGGGAGTATCTGCAGTAATACAGAGTGTCTGGAGGGAGTATCTGCAGTAACACAGAGTGTCTGGAGGGAGTATCTGCAGTAACACAGAGTGTCTGGGGGGAGTATCTGCAGTAACACAGGGTGTCTGGAGGGAGTATCTGCAGTAACACAGGGTGTCTGGAGGGAGTGTCTGCAGTAACACAGGGTGTCTGGAGGGAGTATCTGCAGTAACACAGCGTGTCTGGAGGGAGTATCTGCAGTAATACAGGGTGTCTGGAGGGAGTATCTGCAGTAACACAGGTTGTCTGGAGGGAGTATCTGCGGTAACACAGGGTGTCTGGAGGAAGTATCTGCAGTAACACAGAGTGTCTGGAGGGAGTATCTGCAGTAACACAGGGTGTCTGGGGGGAGTATCTGCAGTAACACAGAGTGTCTGGAGGGAGTATCTGCAGTAACACAGGGTGTCTGGAGGGAGTATCTGCAGTAACACAGGGTGTCTGGAGGGAGTATCTGCAGTAACACAGAGCGTCTGGAGGGAGTATCTGCAGTAACACAGGGTGTCTGGAGGGAGTATCTGCAGTAACACAGAGTGTCTGGAGGGAGTATCTGCAGTAACACAGAGTGTCTGGGAGGAGTATCTGCAGTAATACAGAGTGTCTGGGGGGAGTATCTGCTTGTAACATTTATATGCACTGAAGGAAAAAAAAATAATAATAATACATTGAAAAAAAAAATGGTTGCAGCTTCCGAATGAATCTAAAATGGATGCTGTCCAGTAGGTGGGAGGGTCTGCTAGGGAGGGTGTGCTGCTAATTGGCTGGAATGTGTCTGCTGACAGTGAGGTACAGGGTCAAAGTTTACTCAATGATGACGAATAGGGGGCGGATCGAACCGCGCATATGTTCGCCCGCCGTGGCGAACGTGAACATGCTATGTTGCCAGGAACTATTCGCCAGTGAACCGTTCGGTGCATCACTATCTGGGATATCTTCTGGGGTACTGGTGTTCCGGATCACCCCAACCTACTCCTAAAGGAGCCATAATCACTGTTCCCCTACCCGGGGGCTGCGAGGCCAGGCTCGTAGCTGCTCAAGGAGCGCACCCCCGGTGTCTGCCTCAGGGAGAGACGCGAGTCTCAGCGGGGATCCTGGGGCTTTGAGTCGGCTTCACAGCCGCAGAGTCCCCGCTGGCCACCTGGAAGTCCGTGCCGACCAATGGGAGAAGGCGCTCCCATTCAAACTGGGTTCGCGCCATTCTCCTGATTGGTCCACATGAGGGAGCGCTGATTGGTTGCTACGGGGCGCAGGCGACCAATCAGAGAAGGAGCGCCTTCCAAACAGGGTTTTGCGCTCTTTCGTCTGATTTATATGTAATTTTATAGTCCATTCATGATGGTTCTCTTCTTTATTTTGAAGCCCCACACGAAACGCATTGGTTGGGGCACAGGGGGAACATGTGCCAGAACCCCCTACATTTTATTTGTGACTGTGCAGCAATAATTCCCTAGTGGTTAGTCTTTTATTACAGTGAGTAGTCACAGGCTGCTTGTTGTTTTACAAACATGCTCCTACTCACAGCATAGTGAGTGGGGGGATAGATAAGGTTTAAATCTTGTAGTAATATGGGGGTCATATTAACCCCTGTAAGCTTTTATTAACACGGTTAGTCAGTAACAAAGGCTGATAAATGTGAATCTGAAGCACATTTACAGGATGATAAGTATCAAATCATTGATCCTTTTATCGTGTTTGACTGCTGGAATTTCATCTGGCGTTAAAGGACAACTATAGGCACCCAGACCACTTCACCTCAATGAAGTGGTCTGGGTGCCAGGTGCCTCTAATTTTAACCCTTCAGATATCTGCGAATACAAAAAGTTGATAATGGATATTCCTCAATTTATGCATTTCAGCACATAGAGGAAGTGATCTCTGATCAATTTATTTCAGCACTTGTGAATGGGAGTCCACAATGTAGTAGAGCAGCCTGCAGCTGCTATTGCAGCTCATATCCTTGACCTGTACCTGGCCAGCATGGTCCACGCTGGAACATAGGGAAGCCACCCACACTGCTAGATATACACAAAGCTGCAGAATAACCCTCCCATTATACAAATAATACGGACAGCCCACACACAAACATACACATAATCCACACAAACGCAACACCACAAACATTCCACATACATGCACACAACTCCACATGCAGGCTCTCACATACAATACCCCAAACAGCCCCACATATACACACACCACCAAATACACTATGTGACATTTCCATCCACACACAATTCCACAAGCAGCCCCCATACACAGCCCCGATTTGTAGGTATCATACACAATACCATCAACTACTCATGAACAGGTACAATATAATAGCTCATATGCGCACAAATACAATGATACAACCGAAGTATAAATAACACTAGCAGAATACAGCAACATACACACCTCAATTTAAAAAAAATAGGACCAGCACGCTACAGGACATCACAATTTTATTTCGGCCCAGTGCTCCTAAAAGGTTGCCTACCCCTGATCTAGTGGCTGTCTTACTGACAGCCGCTAGAGGCGCTTCCACGATTCTCACTGTGAAAATCACAGTGAGAAGACGCTGGACGTCCATAGGAAAGAATTGAGTAATGCTTTCCCATGGGCTGTTTGAATGCGCTCGTGACTCTTGCCGCGCATGCGCATTCGATCTGATGTCAGCAGGGAGTGGAGAGTTCCCCAGCACAG